ACATAGCCTACATGGCAGCGCAATGCAGTTATGCACACGCACCCAGCTGCATTCACGCGAATCGCAGAGCGACTGGGGTGGTGCAGGAAGCCCGCTGACGCCGCGGCGCCCCTCCGGCGGGTCGTATAGTTAGTTCACTTTGAGTGGTCTGCCCCGTGGTGTAATAGTATGTGTGTACTGTGTAATGTGTTTATGGATCTGTTTCGTCCAGCATTTTGTTGTTGTCCTACAGGTCCCAATGATGTTGGTGTGGCTCGGGCCGTGTGCTGAGACTGCGATCGGTCACAAGACATGCGACAGATCCATGGCTGGCTCATGACTGCAGGACGGGAGAGAGTCCAGTTGTGGGCGGAGTGTGACTGAGCCGAGCTACACTAAACGTGCACGGTTACGGGGCACGAGACGACCGGCACAGCCGGGTAGAGGGCGGGGCGCCAGACCGTCTGGGTGGTCTCGTGTCCAACTCTCCCCCTCTCCCCTCCCTCTGCCCGCTGTGTTTTGTCGCGGGCCCGTCCACGGGATGACGTCACCGCCTTCAAATGAAGATGATCACGCAGGATGGTGAGGACCGGCCCGGCCCGGCGATTATCTAACCAATTGGCCCGGGCTGCGTCAGCGTCCAAGCGCTCCGGGCGCGGCCGGCCGAGGGTCGAGTCCGCTGACTGAGAAGTTACCTCTGAACGGCTCTGAGCGGTGCTGAAGGGTGTTGACTGTTACAGGATGAGTGGGCGTGATGAGACCATTAATCGGACCGGCAGGGTCACGGTATGGTGATTGGCCGTGATGCAGCTAAATACCGTCGAGTCTCTACGCTGGGCGAGGGGGATGCGGGCCACCCAGCCGGCCCAAAACGCCTGCCTCCTGCGCGCGGGGGTGGCGAAGAGTGGTGCTCCGCTTTGGCCAGTGACAGAGCTGGTTTGATGACCACAGGTGAGCCGACCCTCCCACGTTCACCAAGCTGGTGACAAGTGAGCATACTCCCGGGCCGACGCGTACGTTCTCAGGGCATGTCGTCAGTCGTCACCTGATGCCTTTATGCCTGTGCATGACAGGGTTATCCTTATGTATTGGTCACATCCGTACTCCGTAGTGCTATAAAATTTGCCGAAGACGTAAGGCCCATTATTTCAGCGCAGTTTCACTTTATCAGTGTTTATACCAGGGGGGTGACACGGCTATTCGCGCAATGTATTAATTTATGGGCCGCGCGGGGCCTCGCTATGACGCGGCTGGAGGCAACTGCTCAGCGCGCTAGGATACTTCTGGCGGGGCGGGGCGCTGAACGGTGTGCAATGAATGGGTTATGGTCGGGCAGACAGAGATGAGGTATTGAATTTGAATTGACATCAGCAATCGGGTGGGGAAGGAGAACGTTTCTAATCGAGCTTGGGATGGGGAAAGCCAAAAATATCGCGATCGGCTCATAGCTCAGGGCCGGGTGCCGTACCAACTACCATGTGTTGTATATTTAGGCGGGCAGACAGAGATGAGTTATTGGATTTAAATTCACCTTACCATCGGTTTCTGGTGGGGTTTGAAGACGTTTTTAGTCAAGCTCGGAGTGGGGCAACCCACTGGCGGATCCAGGGGAAGGCATTTGGGGCAAATGTCTTCCCCCTCATTGGCAGCGCCCGAAATCGCTTTTCGAGAATCAAAGAAAACTTCACAACTTTTCTGAGGAAATGTTGGTTAATCACACCGCACAGCAGTGCGCAAGGAATCGAAATCAGAATTTTTTAAATTAATTCCGAGAAACCTTTTTGGGGTAAGCCCCCGCAGTGTCCAAGACCGCTTCCTGGATCCGCCAGTTGTGAATAAGTCACGGTCGATACCGAGCTTCGGCGGGACCAGGCGCTGTATACGTTGTTCTTTCAATGAAGAGGTGGACAGACACCTAGCCCCACATCCTACTGCTATGCCCGTGCTTCTGTGGGTGAAGCACTAAAGCATCACGGAATCCCACAGGACCCAGGGCCTCCTCTAAGGATTTTTCACTGGGTGGGCAAAATTTTTCGCCGCTCCCCTGTCCAAGGGCGGATCCAGCAACTTGTTTTGGGGTTCAACCAATTTCAAAACCTGTGGCCGGGGGGGGGGGGGGGTGAGGCGAAATAAGCTGTGCCATTATTGGAAACAAGATGATAGTTTGCAAAGTTAACGTAAACTTACCATGTCCATTATCCATGATTGCTCCTTGAAGCAGAAATCTAATAATGTTCGCGGCCTCTTTTTAGGAGGCATGGTCAGCTTACTTTTGACGCGTCCTCTGCATCTATAGTTATATGCGGCCTAATATTGACATTAACCCTCGCCCTCGCCGGGCCAGGGAGGTTGATATGCAACCCCCCTTAATTTTTCGCAAGTAACGTAAAAACGGCGGCGCGTAGCGCCGCCAAATTTGGCATAGGTACTCTCTGGAACAGCCTTATGACACCTTCCCTTAAAATTTCAGGTCTCTGCTGTTTTAGGTCAGGTCACCACTACCATGGTCACTAAAACCGGTACAATAACAGGGTAAATTGGACTATATTAGCGGCGACGGAATCGCTGAGTTTATCGTTTATAGCGTAAGAACCATAAAACTTAGCGTCACCAAATTTGAGACACAACTTGGGGCAGCCATTTGACGTGTGACCTGAGAGTTTTGTGTTCCAATGACCTCAGGTCAGACTCAGGTCACAAGGTCACAAAACCGGTACATGGCAAAAATGGCACTGAAAATACGCTATTTTGCCAATGAAATCTAGAGTTGTTCTTGATTCAAACTGGCAGGGTATGCTATGCTCACCGAGTTGTATAACCAACATCCAGGTTTTCCAAGTTCGGGTGACCTGAGGTCATCTAGAGGTCACGAATGCTTCCAATGATTAAGAAACAACTTGAAGTGAGTGGGGCACTGGGGCACTGGCTGCTAGCTAGTTTTTCTTTTTCGGGAAACCGAAGTGGTAGTACCTACCGGACGTTCGGCCGGACCTTTATTTTTGCATTTGCTTCTGGGTGGGCAAATCGACGCCACTGGGTGGGCATTTATGGTGACTGGGTGGGCATTTGCCCACCCAGTGGGTATGTTAGAGGAGGCCCTGACAGGACCTGCGAGTCGACGAGGTGGCCGCTTTGGCCGCCGGGTACTGCAGCTCCCTGGAGAAATAGACCGGCTTGCCGAGCCGGCTTGCCTAAAAATAGACGGTCAGATTCGGCCTGGGTCCTTACGACCCCTCTAGATTCGCCAGAGACGGGATCGGATCGCCGTTATTGCACCCGTCTTAGTGTCTTTAATACTATGACAGCTTCGACCACGGACGTCGGACGGGGTGATCGTACTCCACGAATGTACGCACCATCCAGGCCTAGGATGCATCGAGGTTTAAAAGAATGCAGTCTGTAGATCAATCAACATAACAATGGTGGTATGCAACCACATTAAAATATCTCCCCGGCTCCCGCAACGTTCCAACGCCCCTCCGTTATGCATTCGCCTTGTGTGTCCGCCGAGCCGGCTTGCCTCCAATGACGTCATCGGCCGGCCGGCGGCGTTCAAGGTCAAACGGCTGGTGTCCTTACCTGGAGTTCTATAGCCTTGGTTTATACGACCATTTTATGGAGCGTTGATGCCTCAGGAGATCGGATAACGACCCAGATGAAGTGTGAGAGACTGAGCGGCTCCCTTCGGGACCTATCCGGCTGTGATTTGATCCGTTCCATGACGGCGTTGCGGATCGGTGCGCTTTGTGAAATGTGACACCCGCGTGCGTATCCCGGCGACTGACGCGTGCCACTCCGATGCCGAGTCAGTCGCCCCTGTCCAGTGTAAATGGTTAGCTCTGGATGAAGTCTAGGGAACCAGAGGAGTGTAAGATCATGCGGCAAGGTGTGCCAGATTATAACGACGAGTCATGGCTCGGCCGGCGTTCAATCCCAAGTAATGATCCACTCCGCGGTTGTAGCGGTGGCATTGAGACACACTTCATCTTCGGCTTGGGACGGGCGACACGACACATACTGCCTTGCACGACACCGTGTCACATCTGGAGACAGACGACACGGCACAGTGTCAGTGACACCGCGGCACGCTCCGTCCTGACGGCCCGTGCACGGCGGGAAGGCAATCACCGAGCCTCGGCGACGGCCGTCTGTGGTCGATCCGTGTCCGGTGTCCTATGTCCGCTATGTCCGGTTGTCCGATGCTCTATGTACAGTGTCCTGTATCCGCTGTGTGTCCGCTTGTCCGATGTCCTGTGTCTGGGTGTCCTGTGTCCTATACAATGTCCGGCTGTTTATGGCCGGTGGTCCAATGTCCTCAGCTTGCACGCACGGGTTGGCTTGGCAGAGGTGGACGAAAAATCGGTCTGCAGATGCGAGATAAGCAGCCGCAGTGTAAATATGTGAAAAGCTAACAGATCAATCACATCCGACACACATCGGTCGAGGAAAACTGCGATTGATTGATGGGTGCTGCAGGCTGCACGCTGTAGCGCGTGACGTCGGGGCGGCTCGACCGCTTCCGGTCGGTTCAAGTTTCTACTCCAGTTTTCACTGCGCCTGCCTCCTCCGCCTCCCGCCCTATGCGTCCTCGCCCACTTCCGTCACACACACCTGCCCTGCCTCCTGGCTTCAGGCCAGCTCCTTTACACGCGTGTCTTAGACGTTATCATTATAAGAAAATCAGATAAATAATGCTCTAGTAAATTATTTTATCAGATATTTTAGACGTTCCGCCTGTTGCCAGGTCATTGGGGCGGGGGCGGGGGCGGGTTGTTTGTTTGGGGCGGGGGAGGGGTGCAAAGCTGTCTGTCCGAATGTTGGCGGCAGAGTTGTCGATCACTGTCCGTGAGATGTCTGTCTGCCCTAGGTCGAACTACGTCGGACCGATTGGCCCAGCGATTCTCCGAATAAATTCCGTCTGACGGACTCGAGGGAGCTTACCGGACGGTCCATTCTAGAAAAGTCACACCGTGAAGCTCGGCGTTCGTCTGTTCTGACAACAATTCCGTCGTCGTTTCCAGGTGTCTGGCGCCTACCCGGAGCAGCACTATGACCTGGTGGTGCGGCCGGCGGCCGGCCCGTGCGGCTGCGGCGCCGGTCCGCCGCCGCCCCCGCCGCCCCGGTTCGCGGTGCCGCCCCCGCCCGCGGACCCGGCCTGGGCTGCGGCCGGAGAGGACCTGTGTGACCTGCTGGCACCGCTGCAGGTGTGCCGTGCTCGATCGGTGAGTGACGGCCGCCAGTGACTGCCGCCGGTCGGACCCTGTACTGCTATTTGCACACCTTTTTAATTAAAGTTCTCAGCTTTTCCGAACAGTTTCGTGACTGTTTTTGTCAGTTCGTCAACGGTACAAGAAACATAAACCATTTTTTTATTTGGAACGGCGACATCTTTTTACTGATGATTAATGATAATTTTTTGATATATTGATCAGTAGGTAGGTAGGTTAATTTTTAATTATATTGTTCATTAGCCTACAAATTAGTAAAGTTTTTGCTTATTTTACGTATTATTTATTTTAAAGTCAATTTTATTACCGGAGGGCCCTGCGCCCCTGACCAAGAAAGGTTCCAATGTGTTGTGACCCCGCCGTGCGCCTCTGACAGGGTCTGACGGCCGTGCCGGACCCGCAGTCGACTCCGTCGCAGTCGATGCTGGCCGCCCTCATCACCACGTCGCTGTTCCTCTTTATTGTACTCGTCGCCGGAACCATATTCTTCTGCAAGTGAGTGTCCGTCTCTCGCAGTTATAGGCTCACTGAGCAAGCGCATGAGCAGCGCTCGGGAAATATGTTATATTGGATTGCTGGGGTCTCTATTTCATTTGAAACGGTATCTCATATGCCTTTGCGCTAAGCAAATAGACACTTCTAAGTTGTACCTTGTTAAACATGAGCGATAGGTATAGGTATATGATATGTTTAACGACTGTGTTTGCTTTGAACCATCGGACCATTTTGATAAGAAACTCGATAAATGTGGTTCACCTCAGCAGCGCTCACATTTATACCATCTCACATTCCTGTACATACACTAGACGCCATTATTAGGCTTGTTATACGGTGCCGACAATTTGACGGTAATTTTTCAAATCTGAGGCGACGTGTCGGGAATACCACAGACCACGTAATCTGGCGAACTCTCACGAATTATCCAAAATGACGATGTAAGTGATCTGTATTGGCGATGATCGTCCAATAGCGCCGGTTCGGAGCGATGGGCGGCCCATTTCAGTCTCGGGTATACGGGCCAGCTGCGGGACCGGGCCGTTATTTGTTCGGCGGCGCCCTCCGGCGGTCGGCTGTGGCTAGCACACGACCGCAGTCACGGAGTGGTGCAGCCCGGTGGATCGCTCACACATGGTGCTGGAAGTCGTATAGAAGTGTCATCAGTTGGTCGTTGAGCCGTATATGGATGTGTATGACTCCTGTTCGGCACTTCGTCATAGCATTAATGCGTCCTCCTTCGACGGCCAAAATAATTATCTTTTTATTAAAGACGGTATAAACAAAATAATGGTCTTCTCATAAGATTAGTGACCAGATCCAAATGAGATATATGCACCTATATCTCATTTGGATATATCTCTTTTAGTTCATAGCTGGCAGTCCGTGAGCTGCGGCGGAGACTATTCACACGTCAGCACGCTGCCCTGTCGTGGGGTGACGGCCGTACTGCGAGGGCTCTCAGTCCCGAAATAGACGTCTTCCCCGGGCCTGACGGGCCGAGAATGCGCGCTATGGCAGTTGTGTGTGTGTGTGTGGGGGGGGGGGGGGGCTGCTGAGTGCCGACACCGAGCCGGGGCTGGGGTGCAGAAACAGCCGCGGGCAGGATACCGACCAAGGGGTGGGGAGCTGCTGACTTACTAAACGTCGCATAAATATTGTAGCTGCTTATTACGCACCAATGAAGAAGAAGGTACGTCACGTTCGTTGTGTTATATCGCCCGCACTTCATCGTCCCATCGTAAGTGACGGACGTAAAAATAACATTTCCTTTCTGTTTCCTCTTTACGGGCATTTTCTGCCACACTTCAGCGCCTGTGCTTTGTAACGAATGGGCACGTTGCCGCCGAACTGCGTGCCTTTCCGCCGTTGCAACCCTACAATCAAATGGTTCGTGCGTTTTACTGCCGGAATGTGTCACCAAGCGGCTGTCACTGGTGTGGCACCACCTGCGCGTCGGTGAACCCCGGTGACGTGTCCACGGCTCATACCCGCCCACCCCGCGAGGTGTGAACACATCACACGGGCCGCTGCCGGCCGCCACCGGTCGGCCCTCACGCGAGCAGTGTGCTTGCTTCCGAGCCGTTTCACACGGGCACAATGAGCGCCGCGCTCCAGCAGCGGTGCGCTCTCAGGCCGCGCCGCAATGGCCGAGAAGCGCTACAATCGGCCGCCTTCCGGTGGGTTTTGGTGTGAAGAGGGAGCTGCTGGGGCGTACAGAGGCCACCCGGTGGCCGCTGCGGTCGGTACGGATGGACCGACGCGGACGTCAGACTTTGGCGGTGTGTGCCGAACAGACCAGTCAGAGGGCCGATTAGATCAACAACGAGGTCACTAAGACTACTTAGTGTCAGTTCCGGGATTGTCCTAATTAAGTTGAAACTAGCTCTATTTGCGACAAAGGCAGTCGCTTATGCATGATATTCAGGCGGACTTCAAGCATGGCCTCAGTCCCATACATACTTCAGTTGGGGTTTCAACCTTCGTGATCGACCGTCGTATTGCATGGTCTGCTCACTGCTGGCCCGTACCTACCTATATAACTCCCAAAACCGTCCTCCGTGCATGTTGACTGGTAGGGCCGATGGTCCATTCAGTCAGCCAATCGTAATTGCGTGCGTTGAGGTTATGCTGAGAGCTCATCAGTGACCGGTGATAAATGAGTTAGTTCATTACCTAATGCAGCTGACGTATCTATCCAAGGTCAGATAACCGGTCTCGGCGCCGCGCCCGACGCATCGTCGCGCTGCCGGTGTCCGACGGAAGCCGCTGCGGCGTGTGCCGCACGGAACGCAGTGTGTTTGGAGCGACCTGTGCTGTGTGCGCTATGCAGTATTCACGACTGATGCCGGCACCTGAGCGTAACCGGTATACGGCACCGAGAGAAATAGCGCCGAGAATGCAGTCTCATCAGTTTAAAAGTTGGTGACATGAGGATCGTCTATTTTACCAGGATACCTGAAATGGCCCATTAGCCGGTATTCCCAAGGTAAAACTTAGGAATAGCTATGCAAGAAAACCGATTAATTAGATGGACAGACAACTCGTGTTTCCATGTTTCCCCCATCTCACTCCCAAGTGCCGTTACATGCTATCGATTCCGCTAAAATTTTGATTGTATGTTTGGAATTTACGGTTATTAACGATTATGTAATGTTCCCTGATGTGCCGCAGACACCGGCGGAAGCTGGCCAGTCTGATGGTCACCTCGGCTGCCGATAAGAGGGGGGAGGTGTCCCGGGCCCTGTACGACGACCTGTCGAGGAGGCCGCACCACGGAGCACCGACCGGCCTGCGCTCCGGCGGTCCACACATCGAGGTAATGAATACGGCGGCGACCGGCACTTCACAGGACAGCTTTATTATATCCCCAGTTACCAAGTGTCGTAAAAGGTGTTATGTGATTTACATTTACATACGTGTGATCCACTTTGATATTGCCGCTTGGTTTGTCTTCCGTTGTGACCATGAGCTACTGCATCACGGTGTAATTATCGACTAACCCTGTGTGACCCTGTAGTCTGCAGGGTGTGTTACATAGTCCGCGATACTCCCTATTGGTCTTTACCCGATGTTATACATTACACGATACTTACTCCCTATCAGTCGTTACCCGGTGTTATACGTTTAAGTCACCCCCTGTAACCCGGTATATTTCTACCCCCTATGTAGCCCTGTGATGGTGATGCAGCCTTTCCTTGGGGCCCCACGACTCGGTGTAACACCAGACCATCCAGACCCATTAGGGTACCCAGTCTGACCTGTCTGTTCCGCTGCCGTCTCGTCCCCAGATGGTGGCTGTGAAGTCGGGTCGGCTGCCGCCGCGGCTGCTGCCCGGCGTCCCGGTTGACGCGGGCAGTGGCACGCTGTTCTTCTATCCACCGGCGCCGTCCCTCTCAGAGGAGGGGTCGGAGCGGCTCTCCAACATGTACGAGGAGATACCCTACTACGGTACGTACGGCCCTACACCTGACAGTCAATAGCATACTCTTACGCATTAGATAAGATACCGTCCCTCGTTACGGTACAGTTACACAATGCACAGGTTATGAACACAAAGCTTCCTTATCCACGGTGCATAACTACGTGCGGCTCTACATAGAGGGGATTCCTATCCTCTCTTGGAGTTGAAATCGTGGGGGACATATTCTGTTTGTCGCTATTAGCTTTGTTCATTAATGTGACGTGACCCCCTCCACAGACTCGCAGGTCTGGCAGCGGACACATTCTCCCTAGTGCTCCCTTCCCACTGACCCGCACACGCCCCGTACTTGACGCCACGTCTCCCCTCCACACTCCACAGGCCGTCCGGCTCCGTCCGTCTCAAACTACTCCGACTCTGACGAGGACGCCATCAGCCACCCGTCCGGAGACCCGGAGCCGGAGCCGGAGCCGGGTGGTGTGTCTGGAGGCCGGCCGGAGCCGCGGTACGTCTGCTCAGTACCCCCAGCAGCGACCGGGAGCCGGCGGCGCTCCGCCCGCCCGCGTCACCACCCGGCACTGCGCAGGAAGGACCCCTACTACTACTCGGATATCTTGGAGCGCCACGAGCCGGGCCGGGCTGAAGGTGTAGATGTGGCTGCGGTGGCGTATCGAGGACCTCGAGACCAGCGAGGCCCGCTAGCGTCTCGACTGGCGCCGGACCCGCTTCCAGACCTATACGGTGGCCGGTCCGGCGCCTCCCGCGCACAGGCCAATAAACTGAGCTCGTTCAGGCCGGGTGGGTCGACGGATCATACCGGCGCAGACTCTGAGGTGTATGTGAACTCGAGTGGTCGGCTGCGGGCTGGCTATGGTGGCAGTGGGAGAAGTCGGCGGACGCATGACACTTGACCGAACGGGGGATGTAGAACGTCGATCCTCACCACATATGGGCTAAAGTGCGTGCTTCTGTGAATGAAGGTGTGTATTATGTGTGTCTGTAGCAGTCAGGTGAATGCAATGGGCGACCTTCACAGTGGAGTTCGATCTTCGCTCGGCTTGAAGCGATAGATACCACAGTGATTGTCGTGTCCGGGTGGTCTATGTTTTGCTTTGTTTTGTTTGTTTTTGGTCATGCAAGTAATTAACTGAGTTACAGCTTTGTAATGTCATTCCGGCGTGCTTAAATCGCGCATTGCGTGATTTAGTAACGCACTGGCGCGCCCTGCAGTACTGTGTACTGCCTCCGTATGTGTAAATCAACTGTGATAGTGACCATTGTGATGCAGCAATAGGAAAATAAACCCAGGTGATAACTGTCCGTATTATCACTGTCCACTGACTGGTGGTGATCATTTGTCTGATTCAGTGTTCAGACATGATCCAGCCCACCCTTGGGCCGGACCGACGGATCATAAGCGGTGTTTCTCGTTTGGTGTGCCGGGGTAGGACCAGGCAGGACGTTATACCCCGGGCCTCGAAGTCGCTCCAAGCAAAAGGCAGGCGAATCACAAATGAAGCGGCGATTTAATGTGCTGTTGAATGACCGTCTGAACTCTGAAGCCATCGGCACATGCCGCGTGAATTGTAACGCTGTCACCTCCCTGGGACGGTGGGCATTTGACGGCGTTATGCCATACTACAGCGCCACCTGTGTACTGGATCTGTGTGTCTCTAAAATGGTAGTGATGAAGTCTGCCGCTAGGGGTGCTCGGGACAACGAGAGGCCGGGGCGTGGGAGTGAATGATCGCTATTCTGATAATCTGATTCACTTCAATTGCAATCAGGGATTGGAAGACACCTTATGCCTATGTAGCCTTTGCGTTTTATTATCTTTATCTCTACGTCTCATATTACACATGTCGCACGCGGCGAAACAGGAGCTCGACGATTCTCCGTGGGGGCATTGATGTACCGTCTCACCGTCTTACGTCTCAGTCACGCACGGAGCATAAATAAAGAGCTATGGTCGCTACAGGTACCTACCCACAAGGAAAAGGCCATAGCCTATGAGCTTAAAATCGTGTCCACGTCCATACTGATACCGGTGGCCGTTCTGATGAAAGGGCGTTCGGCTGCCCCGCCCCCTTTCGGTCCGATAGGAACCAGATAGGGACATTCCGATTCGCGTCGAGAATCAAGGACCGCCCTTCATGTGATTCTTAACAGCCTAGAAAAATAAGCGTCACGTCAATGATAGGTGATACCTAGTCTACTAGAGAAGTGCGAGGTCCCGCCTCCCCCCCCCCCAAATCCGCCCGTAAATCGCAATCGGCCGCGCATATTTGCGCTCCTCCGGCGGTCGCCGGTCACGCGGTCTCGACGTCACGTTGAAGGCACGTGATCGTTTTTTGTACACTAAGCATATAGTACCATTGTGACCCACCGTTTGGCTTAGAACTTCATGTCTATCAGAAGAAGTTTGCTGAAAATTGCATGTGCGATAACTTTAATTAAGAATAATCATAACATACTCCATAAAACCCAAGATAAAAACGAAAAGAATGCGCTTAGGATGTGCTATTGCGCCACCGCCATCTTGTCACATGACTTCGATGTTTGGTCCCGTGACCACGAATCACCTGTTCCGGGCAGCCGTGTTCCGTGTGGGGTGTAGATGCTAAGATTTTGAGTATTTGGTATTGTTTTGGTGGACTTTGCGATGTTGTGAAGCTGGAAATAACATCATGCACATAGGTTTGTAAATTTGCCAATTTCTGTCGAATCCAATTTGTACGGATTAGAACGCAGTCAGTCTGAAGCTGATACCGGCTTTAGTGCTGAGTGTTTCTATATTTTTCTTTACTGTTGAAATAATAATTCAAAGCCATTGCTACATTTGTTAGTACTGTATAATCTGGCTCAGTCATATATGCCTGTGTATTCCAAGTAATTCTGTAATCGCAGAAACACATGCGTGTTGAGCATTTCAGTGTAGATACCTAATGTTAAATGTAAATGTTTGTAAGGTAGGTAATGTTTAAATTGAAATAATCCATCCAAAGTAGTGTGTGCAATTTATGACATGCGGATACAGGTACAATTATTACATCACCATGAAATGCAGGCATCAGTCATGCACATTGATTGAATCTCACTGCCTGTGAATTAACTAATTCAAATTGAGCAACTCCTGCCTCATTAAGGAAAAGTAAATTTCAGCAGGTACCTCTGCACACTGGTTTGCATTTGTATGTCTATTTTGTTGAAATGGCCCATAGTTATCGGTGTGTGCATGCAGCATTTTCAGCAGTACAGTGATTGTGTTATCCCCTTGCTTTATTTACAATTTTAGGTGAGAGTGCTGTTGCAACAAATAAATGCTTTGAAGGAACTATCACAACAGACAACTGTACTTGCAGCATAAGGCACACTTGATTTCATAGTTTACATATGTTTATAATGTCCAGCAAATATCTGTGACTGAATGCTTAACAGACTATTTAGCTTTGAATAAAGAGGCAAGTCCTCCATCTGTTAAACAGATAAAGGACTTGCCTCTTTTTTCAAAGCTAAATAGTTTGTTACCAAGCCCTAAAGCTTGTTTTTGACATTGACATGTGTGTCTTGTTTCAGGTTTGATGGTGACCAGGAATGAATGAAGGAGAAAATAAGGAAGTGATACCTCAAAATCTGGCGATAGTTCAATACGGGTAAGAAGTGTTTCCATTTGCACAGCTGACTATGTTGTAAATCACAATCCTTCCACCTAAGGACTAGTAAAGCAGTGTGCAAATGTATATCAGTGATGCAAGTAATCAATTTCCAAGTGTCATAATCAGTCAGAAGACTTAAATTATGGGAAAAGGCTGAAAAAGTCATCAGGCTGCACCAAAGAGCTGTTAATATGATGTTGGGTTTGCTGAACTCTGATGTCTACCAATTCTGATTATTGTTCATTTGTAAGGTTTGGCAGTTATTCAGCAGAATTATTGGTCTCACTCTCTGGCCATGTGCCATGACTGCCCAGTACAGTGCCAGACATTGTTTGGTGGTGCACTCATGACTCAAGACAGCAGCACTGCTCTATATTCAATAAAAAACTGTGAAAGTCCCATCTTATGGCATGTAAACACTAAGCACACATTCTGTTTTTAGATCAAAATTGTCCTCCATTTCACAGACCATTTTAGCTGGCTTTTATCTCACAGGCACTGGGTCTCAAAGTGGCTTTACTGGCACTAGTATAGGAACAAGAGTATAAGAGATCAATTGAAATTAGTTGATTTTTAGTATTCTTTATCATTTTTTGTGTGACTGTTATTTTATTGGTATGATTTTTTTGCTATTGTTTTGTAGGTTTTTATACAACTATTGACAAAGTGATTTAAGAGAAAAAGTAAAGATTGACAGCAGCCAGGAACTTCACGAACTCCTTTAGCTCGATATACAGGCTAGAGCCTGTATTCCATTGAAATGGCGACATTGACGTCCCTCAAACCCGAGACCTTCGTTTAGGCCGTGCTGTCCCTGACTCTGCCCCTCTTTGTGTGCCCCACAGGGATAAGGAGAGCAATGGCCGAGACCCGGACAGTCCCATGCAGTTGCAGTATTTCAAGGCTGGAGGTGCGCCTCCAGGCAAGTACCAACACACGCCGGATGGTCTCAGACTAGCAGATGTGTGTACGCGGGGCATCAGCAGCAATCTGGGGCTGGGCACATTCGGCCGGAAGCACGTGAAATCTCTTTCTCTCACTAGTCACGTAACCTCACCGCGATGTTTTTGCTGTGTGTGGATGGGTATTGGAGCACGCGGAGCAGTCGGCTGGAAATGTGTTACGTGTATGGCCGGGACAGTACCTGACTCGACAATGATCGTCCAGCGCGTATGACCTTTCCGAACTTTCGACCCTCCTAGCCTCCGCAGAGGACATGCATTAGCCTGACCGCCCCGACATTCTGTTCATAGCAGGCATGACTTACCGCGTGGTACACATCAACACGGGATCGGGCGGCGGCGGCGAGGTGGTTCAACAGTCTCTGGGAGGCGCAGCGGCGGCGACCACGGCGGCCGTGGGCGGCGGCGGCGGCGCGCAGGGTCTGCTCGGCGCGACGGCGACCGGCGCGGAGGTGGCCGACGCCCAGATGGCCTACATCCCGTCCGGCACGACGGCCGGCGACCAGCTGGCGACGCTGAGCGCCACTGGATCGGGTGAGGGTACTGGACACACGGTGGGCATACCGGGAGGACAAACCAACCTTCTTTTATCTTTATCATCAGCTGGCGACGCTGAGCGCCACCGCTGAGCGCCACTGGATCGGGTGACGGTCACTAGCGCCATCTCCCGAAATGGAATATGTCGATCCGACCGTTATGGTATTTCCGGACATCAGGAATCTGCGTCTGTTCAAATAGTTCGATACTGATACTGATCCTCCTTGTTGACCTGCCTTTGATAATCTAAAGAGGCTAATGCTGGGTAGCGAGTGCGTCCCATGCATTCTACTCACGTTATACATACTGTTTGAGTTCCACGTGTTACTGTTTGAGTTCCACGTATCCATGTGAATTCTGTAGCGTTGATGATGGTGTATAGCGTGTACCCATTATCCATACAAAGTGTCTATGCTGATGGAGCGTGTCCTCACGGCCTTCTCTCCGTCTCGCAGGCGGGTTCTATGTAATCAGCAGTCCACAGGAGGTGACGATACCGAGCGGTGGCAACCGCACCGGCGGCCGCTGCGAACTACACCGGGATGACCGGCGGCGGGCCACCCATAACGAGGTGGAGCGGCGGCGGCGAGACAAAATCAACAGCTGGATCACAAAGCTGGCCAAACTGCTGCCCGATAATGGCGACGCCGCTAAACAGAACCAGGTACGGGCGGTTAGAGGTACTGGCAGGGGCCCTCGACTCTCGGTCGTACCCAGGATTTAGGCCTGCCCTGGCCCTGTATCTGATAATTATTATGCGAATTTAAACTTACTTGTGCTGTTCGTATTCGTCAGATCAATTGTGTTAATTATGTGAATCAATCATAATATTGCTGCAACTCAATGAGCATAGTTCTCAGTAGCAATGGCCAAAATCCTCGCCTCACCAGTAAGCTCCCTGTAATCGGCTTGCTTTGTGGTCCGTGCCACTCGTGTGTCGTGTAGTTAGGCTCATCAGAGACGCCATTTGCTTATTATGGGTATTGGGTGTATTACCGATGTGACCGCGTGTAGGGTATCCGACTGCCGACATCCTTGCGATAGTCTGACGCCTACCGACCTTTTACAACTGACACTGACCGGCGGCTCTCTGTTGCAGAGCAAGGGCGCCGTGCTATCACAGGCGTGCGACTACGTGCAAGACACGCGCGGCATGCAGCAGAAGTACATGGACCTGGTGCGGGACAACGAGAAGCTTCTCGAGGACATCAAAATGCTCAAACAGAGTAACGAGGCGCTGGTGACGGCCAACCAGCTGCTGAAGGCGCACCTGAAGAGCCAGGGCGCCGTGATTTTGGACGCCGATCAGGCGGCGTCCGGATCGCACTGACGCCGGCACTGGCGCCGTACGGGCGCCGCGCGGCGGACAGACGTGGCCCAGTGAGGGGCGCGCGGGGCTCCGGGCCGCCGTGTGGCCCGGAGCCCGGCCCAGGACCAGGACCAGGGCTCCGTGCTCGGGCCGGCCGCAGTTTCAGTACTCGTGGGCATGCCGCACCGGGCGGCGGGCTGTGGTGGACGTGCCGGCGGCGACGACGCGATCGGTGGCGGCCGCGGATGGCTGCAGCCATACCAAACTCATTTAGTTCACCCATATCCACAGGACCGTAGTGAGCAGTGGCTCGCAAGCGTGTCTTGAAGTCGGCTATTCTCGAGTGTGGCTTGAGAACGTGTTATGTTGTGTGTTAGTGTGCGTGTCTGCGACATACCAGGCGCAATACAATGCTGGACTGTGGCGGGTGGAGTTTGATTTGGGCGCGCACTGAGGGGGGTTGGGGGGCTGGATGTTGGACTGTGGCGGGATGAGTTTGATTTGGGCGCGCTGAGGAGGGGAGGTGGGACGGGGAGCTGGGTGGGTTCCGTACACGTGACACCATTCCTGGACCGATGCCAGACGGCAGAGCACTGCCGCCACTGGCGATCAGTCGGGTCAGGTCCAGCGGCGGGGACATCCGTCGGTCTCTGTTTATTGTGCTGACAAAGCCAGCCACTTACCAGTGCAGGGCGGATAAAACCGGTAGGGTGTTCGGGGTGGCATGTTTTGTGCCGTAAGCCGTTGTTAGTGTTGGCTGCGCGGCAGAGTGTCCGGAGGCAGTGCAGATCAGGATGCGCACTTACGGCTAGTACTGAGCTCAGGGCAGTCTGTGTTGAACTGAGAGTTGTGGTGGGCGGTGGTGAGCTGGTAATGAAGGCTGGTGGGGACTTTTGCTGTGCTGGTGGGAGCTCTGGCGCTGAGCTGGTGATGGTGGAGATGCTGAGCTGATGAAGGCTGTCTCTAAGCCTGTCAGCGCCGTGTTGAGCTGGTTGCTCCACTCGCTGATCTAGACTACCGAGCCGAGCCATGCTGCTCGGCGTGCGCTCGTCGGCCCGTCACGGCCGGCCGGCCCGCCATCTGCGGCTCCTGCAGGCCGCTGCCGCTCAGCTGGAGCCCGACTCGGAGCTGGACTTCTCCGACCCCAGACAGGTGTTCGACAAGAAGTCGACGCCCGAGCTGGTCCGCTCGCTGGCCGTCCTGAAACTGTGCTCGCAGGACTGGTTCGTCGACAACGCGCTACCGGTAGGTGCAATTATTCCACACATTATCTCTTGAAAGTTCATCTCGACATGTGCCCGCCCGCTAACGTAAAAGGACGTTTACGAAATTGAACACCTTAGCCCTGACTTGTTGACGGTCGCTATATCCATGAATTATTATTTTGTATGCTTGGAAACCCCGTCTTTACTGTGTCCATGTGTCTATACGAGTATATATGTGCGCTATGTCTTGTCATCCGACTCTGACTGGCTACCGCTGTGTCTGCTGTGTCAGATCCTACGCGGCTCTGAGCGCCTTCTCGGTCGCCGGCTGCTGCTGGCGCTTGCCCGGCCGCTCTACAGCCAGTTCGTACCGGGGACGTGTGAGGCTGACCTGGCTCAGGCAGCTGCGCGACTCCGGCGGACCGGCGTACGACTCGTGTTCGCCCATATGCTGGAGGACGACTTACGGGAGGGCCAGACACTGTGAGTGCAAGGGAACGTCGGACCGTGTGGGTGGTGAGATGTGGTCAGACATTAGGGGGAGAAGTGAGAGACAGTAGGATCACTGATCCAATTGGTGGTGGGCTATCCGTTAGGCCTTGTAGCACGACCTTTCCGCCAGACCTTTGGGACCTCCGTCAGATACCACTACGAGAGGTGGAGCCTCTTAGACACTGCAGAATGTGTATGTATAGTGCTGGATGCCATTCGTTACCTAGTGTGTCCCTGGGCCCTGGAGAGCAGCGACTAATGTCTTGCCGGCCACAGCGATCCCCTATCTCTACCCTGACACCGTGTCTGCCGTGTCGGTCGGCAGGTCCGCTCTGCTGGACGATAACCTGGCGCTGACGCTGCACCAGTTCGGCATGGCGACCCGGGTGACGGCCGGGGAGGCGCACCCCTGCACCCTGCTCAAGCTGACCGGTCTGGTGGCAGTGCCGGCGCTGGCGGCGCTGAGTGGCGCTCTGACCGCCGCGCCGGCTGACCGGCTGACCCGACTGACTGAGGGAGTGGCCACCCAGCTGTCCGGGGGTCCCTGGTACCGGCTGGCAGAGCTGACCGAGGAGCAACAGCGGCACTGGGACGACGGACTCGCCAGACTGCGTGCCGTCGGTCAGTGGGCTGAGTATATCGACGTTTGAACTAGGGCTTTCTCACCTCCTTTCTGGGCTCGGCTTACGAAGAAGAACCGTTTTAACAACATAGAGCTGGGCAGAAGGGTATCACGATTCACAGACACTGAAGAGTTCGTTTCGTGTAAATTGTTTGGCTTATGAAGGACTAATCCCTGGCCAGCAGTGTAACTGTGTATTATTTCTCACGGTATAAACGGCATGAACAGGTGCGCCTTTATCAAATACATGACCCCGCAGCACGATATCCCGTCTGCTGACACTGTCACTGTGTGTCCAGGCGAGTTTTGTGAGCGGCACAGTCTCCGTACTATGGTGGACGGCGAGTACTCGTACACCAACCCGGCCATCGGTCTGCTGACACTGGCGCTGGCCGCCAACTTCAACACTCGGGTGAGTGAGAACGCACGTACCTAATATGTCATGTGACCCTAGTCAGCGGCAGCCAGCGACTCCCGTAAAATGTTCCGATGGACACGAGACGAGCACCTGGGCTGCAGAATTTACACGCGGTAGGCTGCAAATTAGAGGTCCTTGTGATTCACGATTTTTTACAATATGTTGATAATGCTATCTTATACTCACAGTATGTGTCGTATGGTTCTTATCTTATGATGCATCGTGGCACATAAAAGCTTCATGCTTCCCTGTTTTGACTAGTACCATTATCTACCAACGATCGGCCAACCCGCCCTCACTGGCCCCATTCTTTGCCGACAGAATCCCCTGATCTGGGGGACGACCCGCCCTCACTGGCCCATTCTTTGCCGACAGAGTCCCCTGATCTGGGGGACGACCCGCCCTCACTGGCCCATTCTTTGCCGACAGAGTCCCCTGATCTGGGGGACGACCCGCCCTCACTGGCCCATTCTTTGCCGACAGAGTCCCCTGATCTGGGGGACGACACAGTGCTACCTGAGGGATGCTGAGCAGACTCTCACCAAACATCTGTCGGTGGTCGACAGCCTGGGAGTCTCCTACGGAGTCAAGGTGACGAGTCAGACGAGTCGGTTTCGCCCAACAGACGCTGAAAACGGTAGATGTGTCTGATTTGTGACTGATTAGCTCCCAGGCGAGACCCTAAACAAGTGTGAGATGTGCCCTTTGACGCATCGCCAAATCACGGGGCACCTCGTACTTCATTCAGTGTTTTTGTGTTACTGAACTGACCTATGTCTGTGTGGCAGCTCGTGCGTGGAGCCTATTTGGAGAAGGAGGTCGCCCGGGCGCTGAAGCTGGGCATACCGCGGCCCATCCACGACACCTACCAGGTCACCTCCGATAACTACAACAGGTAGGTGGTAGAAATGTCCCGTGCTGTACCTGTTACGCGGCGTTTCGATATTTTGGTGTTTTTGGATGATATGTCGATGCTGATTTTTGTCGTGTCTCCTTCCTGTTTCCTTTGTGTTTTCTTCCTGTTTTCTTTGTTCGACATCATCGCCGCCGCGTAACGCCTCTCACGCTCGCCCGTCAGTTTGTCGGCAGATCATTAAGCAGTTTAGATTCCCAAAGCCCAAAATGCATAAAAGCAACAAGCTGTCGTGACTGACTAATTTTGTTAAAGTCTGAATTGTGTCAATTTGCACTCTCATATCTCGGTAAACGTTCAGTGCCTACGCATCATAGGTAAATTAAACCAAACAAAGCGCACCAATAATGCCAGGAAAACTCAATAGCCCCATTTACTGTTCCGCTACAAGCACGTTACGGAACTGTGAAGACAGAGGGAGGGAGAGGGAGAGTGAAAGAAGAGAGAATAGGAGTGAGTGAGTGAGTGAGTGAGTGAGTGAGTGAGTGAGAGAGAGAGAGAGAGAGAGAGAGAGAGAGAGAGAGAGAGAGAGAGAGAGAGAGAGAGAGAGAGAGAGAGAGAGAGAGAGAGAGAGCGGGTGAGAGGGAGAGAGAGAGAGGGAGAGAGAGAGAGAGGAGGCTGTTTAGTTTCGACAACTGTCGATTCGGCGTTTATGCCATAAAACGGCTAGCTGACACGCCGAGTGATCACGGCCACACTTGTCCAAGTACCAGTTTCCTCTCGAAACTTGTCGACTTTGGTGACCTGATGAGACTTTGTTAGACGCGCGGAGAGAACAGGCAAGTTACTAATTCGTTTCGTTCCGAGCCAAAGTTGTATCGGTCAAGTACGTGTGGTGACACTTGTCAATTCTGTACTGGGTGGAACGAGACAACAATCACAATAAAATGACGCCTCGCCGGTCCTGCGGCGCGCGCGGCTCGGCGCGGCTGTAAAACGATTACCGATTTGGATTGTTAACAAGCGATGAGTGCAGTGGCACCTGCACACTGTCGGTCGGCTGTACTGAGAGCCGTGCTATTCTCTCTGGGATTGCGTATCGATTTCACTGTTCAGCGTCATAAACGAGCAGCTGGTGATGCTGTGCGACTGGTGGACACACCCGGGCAATACAGGCCCGCTCAGTGCGGTCAAAACAATATCGATCCGGTTATATGGAGCAGTCCATTCAACCTATTGGCGCATGTTAAACGGTCGGGATGGCAGCTAGCGTCATTATCTCTGGGCTTCCGCAACTGACATTATTGCATGTATACACCTTTCGCTCATTATTTAGGTCATACTGGGAGCAGCCTATGGCCAAAATTGACGACAGAGTTGGCCTACTCTGAAGGCAATTAGGAGCTTCCGGGACGAGCTAGTAATAACCACATTCACACAGCAACCATACTTCGGAAGTGGATCCCAGAAATTAGTAGCCCCCTCCATACGGCTAATTATGGCACCACCATATAGCCCCGTTACATGCGATACCCCTTTGTCGTGACCTATTGCGGATCACGGAACTCTAACCACGCGGGACGTGACCGGAATGAATGATACCGCGGGACGCACCCGGAATGACTGATACCGCGGGACGTACCCGGAATGAATGATACCGCGGGACGTACCCGGAATGAATGATACCGCGGGACGCACCCGGAATGAATGATACCGCGGGACGTACCCGGAACGAATGATACCGCGGGACGTACCCGGAATGAATGATACCGCGGGACGTACCCGGAATGAATGATACCGCGGGACGCACCCGAAATGAATGATACCGCGGTACGTACCCGGAATGAATGATACCGCGGGACGTACCCGGAATGAATGATACCGCGGGACGCACCCGGAATGAATGATACCGCGGGACGTACCCGGAACGAATGACACCGCGGGACGCACCCGGAATGAATGATACCGCGGGACGTACCCGGAATGAATGATACCGCGGGACGCACCCGGAATGATGATACCGCGGGACGCACCCGGAATGATGATACCGCGGGACGCACCCGGAATGAATGATACCGCGGGACGCACCCGGAATGAATGATACCGCGGGACGTACCCGGAATGATAACCGCGGGACGCACCCGGAATATCCAACAACGGCGTCAACGTATCCTCACCCCCGTCTGGGCCAGTGAATGAGACACGCACACTGTACCGCCGCCCCTCACCAGCGGCAGCACAGGCAATCAAACAACGACGCTGGCCCGTTTCACTGCCGGCTCACGACAGTACGGGCCCCAGACTGGATCTGACCTTCAGCCAGCCAATGGCACGTCTCCAACCATTCGAAAATGTGTGGATGCATGCAAGTGGTATCTCCATGCAACGACCAACACTGCCTTGAGTAAAATTGCACTACCTTGACCAGGACAGGGAGGACAGCACTTATTTCTCATTCCCCGACAATTGAAAAAGTGTAATCCAGTCGATTGTGTATACCGTACCAACACGCTTCAGCTCGCTTCCATGGAGAGGTAATTACGGCCACGCATGGCCAGCCGTCGCTGTCTCATTTATGGGGGCAGTAAACCCAGCGCTCACAGAGCAGTCGGGAGATCTGGGCTGGTGCTGTAGAAACTTTACAGTAAATAGGCGTCATACACTATTGCATGTGTCCTAGAAGTGGACTCGTCGCAGCTCTCACTGGTGCGGGGCATGATGCCAATAATGACAATTAGTAGTAATAATCTACCCCATTCGATATAATGGTAACGACTGGACTATTTTCCTGGTAAGGGCGGCTGGTGTAACGCCAGGCCGTATATGTATCTCTTAACCACTACAATTGTTGTCCCGTAAATTAGTCGCTGAATAGAGGAATGGAGCCAACTGACAATGATTGTTTATCTTATTGACTTGGTCCCAAAATCGTTCGGTTATCTGCTGCACTAACAATTTACATAAATGATAACGATGCGGCGTCCCCTACTAAATGGCTGACGCTAAATAGGCGAACCGGCGCGCCTGGAATTCAGTTGAGTTTGGCGGAGTGATATTGACGTAGTTTACCAAATATGCCAGACGCACTGAATGTCAATTAGGTGAGTGGTCCTTCAGCAAGTATAGGACATTACTAAATGATAATGATACGGCGTCCCCGAAACTAAGCGGCTGCCACTAATAGGGTGAACGGCGCGTCTGGAATTTTCTGAATTAGGCAAAGTTATATTGACGTAATTAACCAAATCTACCAGTCACACTGAATGACGATTATAAGAGCGTTCTTCAACAAAGACAACAGAACAGGTTGACAATAGAATAAATTGACTTCTACGTAATGCCCCTTTGGCATCAATTTCACTGCTGAGAGCCACTGTACCGAAATGTAGCATTCATCACAAAATTAAAGCGGGCGTCGCTTTACGTTTTAAGGGGAAGTTAACTAGTAATAAAACTAGACACTATATCTGTTCCTGATCATGCGTTTTCCATGCCTGGGTTTCATCTAGAAAACGTGCCTTTACCGAGAATTATAGTAAGGTTGGAACCCAACGTACTCCGCACTTAACCATGCCGCATTATATGAAATAGAATGCAAAACGTTCAGCCGCAAAACATTGAATGCGTGAAAGGTGTTTCATTTTGGACCTCCTTGAGCTGTAATTGATGAATAAGCGAACTGAGACCTACTAGCAAGTAACAACTATCCGGATAATTGCGACTGCATACAGGAGAACTACCGTCAAATGTCAAATGGCATGCTGAGCTCTGAAGATTTTTTTTTTTTAAACAAGATATTGATTACTGAAATTATCTGGTATTGTCAGTTGACGTCATCCAAGCGTTAATATGAGCTAATGACGGCAGGTTAATAGCAAAGTAATAAAAGGACAACCCCCAGATCCTCAACGCTCAAATCGACCCACTCCCCTTGATATTTGACCGAGATATATCATTTGTTAGCCTTGCTACCCAATTATAGACCACAATTTCCGAACCCCGTTCTACTCTATCATCTACCCGACCTCGTCAACCCATTGCTTCGATCATCTCCCTTTCGTTATAGCCCCTCATTCGCCATCATAGTCTAGTTTCGTCAGTGGGTTATATTGTATGTTACGTGCTAATTTCAGGAGGAGGGAGTAGGGAGGGCAGTGGGAGCACGACATATTTGACATGCACAATCCGCGTCATACACACGTGAATGCACACAGACATAAACTAACTTCAGAGCAAGCGAAGGCGTTATAGTGGGTACGAGATTTGCACAACTCTTTATGACGACGTTAACAGTACGCACACAAAAATGATGCAGAAGTCTGAACTCCACGAGTAAGTGACCATTTACCGAGATATTTGAATCAATTGACAGACTCAGATTTTATGTTAGTGGGCCAAAAATAAAGCATTCGATAGGCTGGAGAATCTAATGCCGCCGAATGACCGGCGACGCGCTGCCGGACTTACATGATAGTTGTCGGTCGCAGGGGGGTCAAGAAGCCGACCAGTCAGCCCGGTATCGACGGCGATTCTCACATCGAACGATCACACACCGCGAATGACTGACAGTCCTCCAGCGTGAGTGAACGAATGCGTAGTGTCTAAGTGTCTTGACGTCCGGGACGAATGTCCCGGACCGAATGGTCCGGCGACCCACGCGGTGTACCGCCACCAGTAGAGTCCAGTGACGAGTGTCCGACTGAGAGACAGAGTGTGTGCGCGCTCGTGTCGCCGCTGCTTTTATATGGAGCAGCGAAGCGCATCGAGAATCGATCGGTCCACATGGCTCGGAGATAGGACAGTGTGTTACATGAAATTCGGTTCGAAAGAAAGTACGGCGTGTCACATCAGAAACAACCTTGGAAAAATTCCGTCCTCGGAATTTCGAACAAAAAGGTGATGACATCGATATCGAAAGAAAGTACGGCGTGTCACATACCAACTCACAGTTGGCACAGTTGGCGAATCAGCGTGGTTTGGATAGTGATTGCGTGACAGCCAGGCTTTGCCGGCTGTCCTCCAGTCAGGTGGTGGCACATGCCCCTCGATACAGTCATATGGTGTAGTGTAAAAGAAAAGAAAAACATCTAGAGCTGGGTGGCACTCAGAAATGGAATAAGACTCCTCCACCGCTACGGTTGGATTGATTGATTCTATATCGGCCCGTCTAACTAAGTCCGATGTAATCCCCGCCCCGTCGCGTTCACAGACAGGTGGAGCGGATGCTGGGCCGGGTGGCCACGCTCGGAGACCGGTCAGCCGTTATGGTGGCCTCCCATAACGAGAACAGCGTGCGTCTCGCAGTGCGATTGATGGCCCAGCTCGGCTTGCCGCGCGATGACGGCCGGGTGCTGTTCGGTCAAACGTATGGCGTCTACGAGCAGGTCTCTACACCACTGGGTGAGTGGAAAACCATCAGGTTTCAGCTGCAAGCCCCGCCGAGGAGCCCTAACTAACATCAGCGGAACATGGTTTCCCCCACCTGCAGTCAGGATGAGCAAAACCCCGATAAAATTCACGTTGTAGACTAGCGGGAGTTTACTGTACTGCTCAAGATAATTTTGCTCATAGGTGGCGCCAGTGGTAAGCGCCTGAAGATATGCTGTGCCGCATTACTCTAGAAAGAAACGCGTGCGCTGCGCGGCGTGCGGGCGGATGAGTGGAACGGGAGGCTAGCCGTATGCTACGTTCGCGCTTTATCTAGCCAGTACCATTATTATCTCCTCCATGGTGGTTCCCGCCTCCATCGCATCGAGTCAGAATCGTAATCAGTCAGTGTCGTATCTAAGCCGTCTCATGCCCACCCAGTCCGTATCTAGTTCGTGTCGTATATCGCCCATGTCGCATGCCGTCCATCTTTCGTGCTTTATATCGGTAGTGTCTTATCTATTCCGTGTCGTTCCCCGTCCGTGTTCCGTCTCAGTGCGTGTCGTACGGCCGAGTCGGATAGCCCATACCACGCTAACTGTAACCCTCCGTTCGGCAGCGTCCGCCGGGTACGCAGTCTACAAGTCGACACCCCTGGGCGACATCAGCTCCATTCTACCGTACCTGGCGAGGCGGGCCGCTGAGAACAGAACTGTGGCGCGGGGCACGCGCTCAGAGCGACGACTGCTGGCGGCCGAGCTGTGCCGACGACTGGGGCTGACCGGCAGCTGACAGAAACGGGACGGTAGATGACGGAAACGGGCGGGCAGATGACCAGCCCAAGAGTCCAACACGGCAATTACAGACCCGGGACGGCACGGGGATCCCGCCTTCCCTGAGCAGTGAAGGATGCGATGCAATCGAGAGTCCCCTTACCAGCTCGGATTGCAATGGAAGTTGACCTGATAAGTTAGCTCTAACTTGATCATTTTATAAGGGTGCAAAGCCCTCACAGACCATCTGGAGTCGCTCACGGGATCTGCGATTCCCTGTCCAGCACCTCGGATTAGCAGGGCGTCGTACCGTTATTGACCGGCCAAAGCTGCCACGAGAGTCGAATATCCGCTGAACAGCGTCAAAAAGGCTCTTAGCGGCATGCCAATATCTGCTAGTCGGATAATAGTTATACAGCGTCACCCAGCCAATCCATAGAGGAAACGGAGATTGAGATTTGAACTTTGAGCTCTCTCACTCATGCGTGCTCATATAGGAACAAATGCTCAGCAATATATAGAAGGGTTCAACGCGAAGGAGTTACGTAACAAACGTAAGTCCGAAGATGATTGACGATATACTTTACTGAATCTGCCGTGCTTTGCACTTGAGGGCATATTCTCGATTGTGGGAACCTCTGCCGTGTAACTGTCATCGACATGCTTAGCGTCTCTTGTTTCAATACATAATTTTTGATACACGTTGTGTGCCTGTGCAACGGGTAGACGTTCGGTTGTTACTCATTCGGCAATGCGTGACAAAACACTGTAAGCTAGAGAAAATGTGAGAGATGAAAACTTTTTTAGCATCGTAAGAAGATAAGCGACAAGTGATTATGTTATAATCTAGAATAAGTCTAGTATCTTTAATTTACTATGTTTTTTTTCAAGCAATTTCAATTCAGTATAAGGGGATGAATACTCGTTTTATTACGATTTGCGAATATTCGACCGTCTATAAAGCGCTTAGCCCTAGGAAAACCATAGACATCTGTATACCGTGTACAGAGGTGTACAGAGACCCATGCTTGGGCGAAAACCAGCCGGTGCGACCAAAGGTCTTCTCAACTGGACGGCGTTGTGGTGTAGACCTTAGCGTAAACAATGGAAATTAAAAATGGAGCTTGCACTCGTGGAGCTGACGTTTTATGTAAAGACAATTTTGTCACTAAATTAAATAAGGTCGACGAGCATAGCCGTAATTCGTATAGGGATACCGTTTACCAATTACCCCGACCGACCTAATAGAGATGCTCGATAGTCGATACCACTGGACTCGACCCTTAAACCTGCCAGAGTCACCGTGTACCGCGACAGTGAGACCCCCAGGCAGTCGACCCCCGTTATAGAAGGCAGCCCGATCCCCGCTATAGAAGATAACCCCGAGTTAAGCCAAACGTCGCCCGCCTCGACCCGGAGGTCACCCAGTGTTTGGCCGGCGGGGTCCCGTCCCGATGATGCGAACTGCGCCACCGACGGGACTGCGCGCAGGCGCTGACCCAGTCACCGATCGATCCGACCGACTGCTGTTTGGTGGCTGGTGCGGCGCACGGCCGGGCCGCCGCGCTGGAGGTACAGGGTCGGGACGGACAGCGAGGTGACAACACAGGACAACAGCGGGGCTGGGTAGCACGGCACGAGAGGGAGGACTGCGGCTCACACGGTGAGCGGAAGCAAGCCAGGTAGGTAAGTGCTGACAGGGAGATCGCACTAACAGGATAACTTTCTACCAAGTGACAGAACAAAGTGGAATAAAATAACTTAGCTGATGACAACCATTTCCGCAGTCTACAATGTGACTCAAAGTGTTTACTTAACGTTCAATAGGTGTTGAATGAATGCCTTGGTTGCGTGAGTGAATGTCATCATGAGCTTGGCAAACGTGACAGACATTAAACAAAGAAACGTTCCTGCTCTGGGTCAACACGCGCGAGATATCGCATTTAGCTAGACAATCACCATTATCTCGAGCCGTGGCGCTTGCATTTACAGTAAGTACTAATCACCAATTTATGACCTCAAGCCTCCTTAGTAACGGAACAATAAGGAACTCAGGAGTTAACCCGACTTCGTTCGTTTTACCTATGAAGTAAAACAAAACTGATTATTTCTAGGTCAGCTGAAGCCGAAGGCCGTCTTTCTGCTTTCAAGTGATCATGTTCTCCTCACTGTTGTCAGGGACAAGCGATCAGCGACCTCCGCCTCCGGGGCATCATCGGATAACAGACTGCGTGGACAAACCCTGGGGAGCCTTCTCCACCGAACAAAATCAGGACCAGTCACAGCTGGATCAACTTTGACGGCACGTCGGCACCGACCATCCGACCACCATGGCAGGTGTGTGTCTGTACTTTTGTGACTGATGCGTTCATACGATGTCTCTTCCAGTGCCGAGAAAGGTGTGCGCCCTGGGTAAGCCTATCGATGTTTCGCATTGCGTGGGCACCGCGGCGTAGAGTGCATCGCTGCATTGTATGCACTGTTCCCGATATAACTCGACGCTCGGTGCCAACAATACAGTTCGATAGAGAAGGCTAGGGCTGGAGGTCACGGTCGGAGCAGCATGATCAAGAGCTGACCACCTTAGCCGAGCTTGGCAGCCGGCAGCTATCGCTCCAGTTATACGAGTCTCTCAGTGCAAACGCTGCCACACTGATAGCCGTGAGAGTATTTCATTTTGAATCAGCCAAATCCACTCGGGAGTTCGTGACCCGTGACGGTAGTTATACATGCCGGTTATATCTCGGAGAGTGATATGTAGTGAACCATCCTGATACAACTTGAACTGAAACGTCAATCTTCCCCGCAGGATATCAAGTAAACATCGAAGACGCTGGCAACTACTCAGGTAAGAAGACATAGAAATGCGCATTAGAACTCTGGGCATAGGCGTCGCCAGAGATTTTCGGTTGGGGGGGGGGGGGGCAAAATCAACTTTTGTGTGAAACCTTGCCTTTCCCCAGTCGTTAGTCACTCGTTTTACATGTCATTCGACGCGCAATGGTGCGAGGAATCCGATGGTGGCAAAGTTTTGAGTTTTCCTTCTAGCTATGCCATGTATTGTTTACAGAAAAATTCGAAATTTTGAAATTTGTGGAGAAAACAACCGGTAGAATTACAGTGCAGGCTTCAATTGCCGGCTGCAAAGGGCCCCTGTGATGACTCTCGTCACTCATAATCATTACCCAGAAAAAGGTGAAAAACGCTCCATGTAATCGGATCACTCTGCTAAAACCTCCATTCACGCATGCATGCAGAGGTTTTACGTGAAATGCATAGGACTTAGGTATCCCAGCCGCCGATTGTAGCCAAGTTGGGCATTCGGCGGAGACTGAGAGTGAATGTCGGAAGTGTGAATCGGAAGTAAATTAGTAGGTAATTCATCTTTGCTCCAGTGGGAGGAAGTGTTTTGTTCACTCGAGTGCGAACAAAAAGTTTCTCGTTTTTCGTGTGAAGGGAAGCGCTGCAAACGTGAACAAAAAATGTTTAACGGAGCGAAAAGTTACGCACGGCATAGCGGCAATGGATCCCTTAGAGATAAGCTTTGAACTTCCAGGCCATTTCAGGCCACTCAGGGTCAGCGTGGACTAGAAGCCTGCTTAGGATCCCGGAGATCGGCGTGGGTCACCCCAAATATTTACGTGTATGTGGTGCTACGGCTTTCCGAGCCCAAGGTGGGGCCCTCAGAAGCCAGTGTGGGCGGCGGGCGCTAAGAGACTAGGCCCAGGGTGAGCCTAGAGCCCTCGGATAAGTGTGAACTGTGAACCGTCGGGGTCTATGTTGAATCCCTAAGGACCCTACGTAGGGACATACGAAACATGTGTTGCGGTCCTCAGGGGGACACGTGAGTTGTGACCCCTCAGATGCCGGCCTGGGGTAGCAAAATCTGTCGCCTCAAAAGTTCGGCTGAACTATCAGAGGCCAGTTAAGGTTCTCAGAAATTTTTGAAGGCATCCTCAAAGATTCGTGTGGCCCTTCAGAGGTGAACATATGAATAAGGTCCTAAAAGATCCCTGTATGGGCCCTCAGAGAACATGGACACCAGTGGCCAGAACATGGACTCTCAGAGGCCGGTTTGGTCCTTCTGAAAGCTTCTTAGACATCAGTGGAGCTCCTTAGGAGCCGGTGGAAAGCAAGCTCATGAGCCCTGTGGCACTTGAACGGTACTTGAGCCTGTCGCAGACATTTGACGAGAGTCAAGAAAGGCCCAAAAAGATTTCGTGTCACGCTTTGAACGACAATTATGTGTCAGCACTCCAAAACTTATGAAAATCAGCTATAAAATGTAATAAAGAACCAACTACAACGTGGAATGTAGGAATACGTGGAATGTGGAATAAATGAATGTAGGAACGTGGAATGAAACACAGCATTGACATTTCCGAGTCTGGAGTCGAAGTCTTGAAGATTGTGGCGACTGCGACTCTGACTCTGGTTTGAACTGCACGCTCCAACCGAGTCTGACCTTACAGGCAGTCTCAGACAGGTACCCCCATTTTTTCCCGACTCCAAAATCTCATCGGATCTGTATCGATCTCAGGGGGTGCCCGGTCCGAGGTTGAGGGGGCAAGCTGCCCCGCTTGCCCCCCCGTGACGACGCTAATGACTCTGGGTGCCATGATCCATGAAATACAGAGGTCTATGGGACGCAGACGCATCCACTATCAGCCAGTATTCACTAATATTCCTGTATCACACCCAAACGCATCTTGGGCGACTGTAAATCATTGGAGTTTCGTCCACTAGATGTCAGACAATGCGTCATTTCCGGTACATTTAGACGAATTGGTAGAATCTCAGATGTGCCCTGTGTCCTGTAACGCATGTCCGTGGGTCCTATGACAGACGTGTTCGTGTCTATGTGTTTCCGTGTGACAGAGTGCCCCATTTCCCGCAGAGCTCAGTGAGACCGAGAAGCGTCGCGTGCGCCAGCAGGTGCTCCGCGAGCCGGCAGTGCGAGAGTCCGTCGAGGAGATGAAGCAGCGACTCAACCTGATGAAGAGCATTGTCGACGACACGCGCCAAGTGATGTCGGGAGGCGCCGCCGAGCCGCGGCCCAAGGGGGTCGCCATCGACGGCGCCATGATGGGCGCCATCTTCGCCGTCATCCTGGCCGTCATCCTCGGCGCGTCGGCGCACGCCTTCCAGAACCTCTACTACGCCGTGCTGAAACGGTTCAACCGGTAACGTGGCTGCCGGGACGCTCACCCAGCCGCTCTCCAAGAGGCGAGAGACGCTCACCCAGCCGCTCTTCAAGAGACGAGGGCCGCGCTTCCAGCCGTGGGAGCCGCTCCACAGACGCGGGATCCGCTCAGTCAGCGACAGCCGGGTCCCTCGGGATTTGAGGCTCAGTTGGGTCGCTCATCCAGCTACAAGAAGGTACGCCGAAGAGCCACGAGCGACGGCGGCGGATTGTGAGAAAAGAGCCAAATCCAGATGTTGGAAGTATTCTTCTCTTACTGTTGCTGTGAAACGCTTCCAAAAGCTTTACTGTTTCTTCCCCTGTTGTAAATACATACGTGTACCTAAACCGTCATATTGGACATACTTGTAGATGTAGTTTGGAGGTCACTGCTTAAGTTCGGAGAAAACCATGTTATGAAAAGATTCATACGAGCATAAATGAAGCATAATCACACGCACTTACATAATCTTAAATGCCACCTTTTCGACTTTTTTGTCGAACTTAGTACGGCAGACATGCGTCCATTATGTTGAAAAAGGGTATAAAGCTTGACCTCAAGTTTCTTACAGAATTGCTCCCCGTTCAAATGTAGCTTAAAAAAGAGCAATGAGCAATGAGCATATCCGTCTGTCTCTATGGCATGTTTTGAGCCCTGGTTTTGAGCTAGTGGTACCGTCCCGATACCGGTGGCGCTCGCCACTGTCACGCAGTCCATCAGATTAATAGTGAACAGTGAACACGGTACACGTCACAGAAGTGGAGCAATTCCGGCCGTCCTCGGAGATAATTCGATATTACGAAACTTAAGATAAAGCAACTGCAGTGAAGGAGAAACGAGCTTGTGCAGTGATTGGAGTTTTGAATTCATCAGACAGCTTTTGCTAGTTTGCGTCGGAGCCAGCCACACTACTCAGAGGTGCAATGGCCCGCAATGCCCCCCCCCCCCCCCCACAAAAAAACGCGTTAGTCGTATCAATGGCCCGCAGACCTGTATGATACCAAAGCCATCCAGCACCTATCAATCAATGTCAGTGCACAATTCACCAGCCACTCGGAAACAGCGAACGACGAACTGGTGGCATGTGATGATAGAATGTCAGGATTTCATGCCGACCTCAGACTGGAACCTCGAATCTCCACTTCTTTGTCCTCTCCTTTCTCCTCCGTCTCCCTTTCTTTCCACATAATCCAAATACTGTGATTGCCGGGTAAATGTATTGACAATCTACACAAATGAATGAATGCTGGTTGTGTGACCGGCGTACCGGTAATCCCATCGTCACGGCTGTGGGGGCCGTGATCCGTGAACAGGTCAACTGCAAACCCCGCGATCCATGAAAGGTCAACTGTGAACTCAGTGATCTGTACTGAAGTCAACTGTGCCTGCCGTGACCTGGCCAGATCAGCTGTGAACTTCATGACCTGGCCAGATCAACTTTGAACCCCGTGACCTGTACTGAAGTCAACTGTGCCTTCCGTGACTTGCGGCCAGATCAACTGTGCCCGCCGCGACCTGCGGCCAGGTCAGCTGTGGACCCCATGACCTGTGACCGGCGCGGCTGTGAACTCCGTGACCACTCAGCTCGCACAGGTGACCCGGCGTCGTTAGCCTCTCTGCTCAGTCGGCCTGTTCCATGGCCGAGCCTCCGTCCCCGTTCTGACGGTCGGCAGATCTGTCCCTTCCGTCGGCGCCACGGGAGCCCGAGCGGGACCGCGAGCGGGAGCTGTCGGGGCGGGGGGGGGGGGATATGGTCAGTCAGAGAGTTGTCAGGGGGTTCGAGAGGGATACAGTCCGACAAAGGAAGCTGTCAGGGGCGGGGGAGGGTATCGAAAATGTTGGGTGGGAGCGGGGGGGGGGGGACGAGGGGCATAACTTCCTTGGCCTGACCAAAGCACCGCGCGCCTTAGAACAGCTGAGACCCTGCCGACCCTACGAAGACCTCCGGCTGCTTACCGGGACCTGCTCCTGGAGCGGGACTTGGAGCGCGACTTGGAGCGAGACTTCCGATCGTTGTCCTTAGAGCGCGACCTGAAACGAGGGCAATCGTCAGACCGAGTCTGCTAGGAGTCTGTAACAGCCCTGACTGGCGCTTATTAAACTCGAACAACAGTGCTCTCACAAGACTGGCGCACCATATTAAATAAACATCAGTCTTAGTGACCAACCAAAGCATCGCTAGTTTATGGGGATTCATGAACCCTCTGAATTGGTACAATCCACAGAAATAATCGAAACAATGCAGCACATTATTTACGATGTACGTTCGCTCTTTCTGCAAGAGCCGATGTAATGACAAGTAACATATTTTATCGAAGGCAACCGAAATGCATGAGAAGTTATCACGAAACTTTGTTTTGTGATAACGGATGCAAATGCACATGATAACCAATCCAACCCTACAATGTCATTAACTCCTTGCCAGGACAAGACGACAAGTAATCAACAGCAGAACATTCTAACAAATAGGAGGCAATCGCATTCCTCACTAAGCTCACGAGACTTGGCAGTCTCAAACCTCTAAGCTGCCTATCCCACGCCGTCATCTACTCCGCACTGTCTCCTGAACCCTCGGCGACCGGCTGATCTGTCCCCTGTCCGTCTCAAACGCGACCGACTTGTCCCCTCCCCGTCACTCGCGCAGCTGACCTGCTCCGCGACCGAGATCCGCCGCGATCCGCAGACTTGGATCGGGATCTACGATCCGCCGACTTCGATCTGGACCTGCGCTCAGCCGACTTCGATCTGGATCTACGCTCCGGCGACTTGGATCTGCGATCTCCAGACTTCGATCTGCGCTCCCTGGATTTGGATCTGGACCGACGGTCTCCGGATCTGGATCTGCGATCGGCCGACTTGGAGCGGCGGTCGGCCGACTTGGAGCGCGACCGCGACTTGGATCTTGCGAGTCAGATGAGAGTGGGCGGGCGGGCGGGCGGGGACGGGCGGGGCTGATCAGGCAGTGTCGGATCCTCCGGAGAGGGCTCCCGCTCCGGCGGCGATCCGGAGAACCCGGCTCCACACAGACAATCGCACGCAGGCAGACAAAGCAATAGAACATAAAATAAAAATAATAAAGCATGTTCGGTTGGATCACCGAGCGAGAGTAAATAGCTAGCTGACCCTGTGTGCATGGCTTCGCGCTGGTGAGATTGTTTCAGCTTAGAACTGTTAATTGAAAGCGCTAGTAGCAATACAGACAAAACAGAGAAAGCAATGAAACATCTAAAGTCTAAGCCCTTCAGTTGACCAGTAAATAAATTTGCATCATCATAAGATTTACTTTTGAAACATATCGCGCCATGACCTTGGGTTATTTATTCCAGCAAGTGACATGCAACAGCGCTTTCAGAGCAAATGCATTCATTGAATTTCCCTCCGCTGAGCAGCATGCATCGTCCTTTTTCCAGTTACGTCATTTGAAGTTTGAACTACGAAAATTTTTACGTAGTTTGTAGAGGACATGGGGAAAGCAAACCAAGAAGAGACCCGATTCGGTTCATTTCCTCCATTCAAGGCTCGTTGGGATCCAGCACACAGTGATCGGTTAGGCATACACAAGATTCCATACGTCTATTCCTGTGGTGAGCTTGGGCCAATCTAGCGGTGCCAAAATCGCATCATTGCAGTTTGCAAACGTCAGTTACTCCTCAGACTACCTAGTTTGTGCGTAGGTACGTTAGTGACTAAAGCAATGCAACTTCCAGAGCAAATACAATTGTTATTGAACTCCCTTTCAGCCTAGCTCTGCTGAATTTGACTCGTTTCATTCGCATGCATCAAACTACATCAGCAGCGCGTGCCGATAACCAACCAAACAGCTGATTACTACCAAAGAGCTGCACAAAGTAACTAAAATAACTGCAAGCAATCTACAGCGGGCAGCGGGCAGCCGCGTCGGGGTGCATACCTGGAGCGGGAGCGGGAGCGCGAGCGGCTGCGGCGGTCCCGGCTGCGGCTGCGGCTGCGCGAGCGGCGCCGAGAGCGCGAGCGGCTGCGCGAGCGACTGCGCCGCGAGCGCGAGGAGCGCAGCGAATCGTCGATGAGCCGGATGCGGCGTCCGTTCAGCTCGGTGTCGTCCAGCTTGTCCAGCGCGTGGCGAACGTCGGAGTAGGAGGCGAACTCGACCACACTGTCAGCAGCGAGGACAGGCGGGTCAGCTACGAGACAGCGGGTGAGACTATGAGACTTTAAACATCTTCCTGACATCTTACACCTTTTCTGCAATCGTAAAAATTTAAAGAAAAAGAAACTGAATAATATGAGCGGGGATAAAACACTTGATATCTCACTGATCCATGATATAAAGGATAACACATCAACTGAATGATCATCGGTAGCTTGATGCTTGTTTATTGGGGCTTTAGGGCGCGCCGACCACTAGGGTCATTTTGAGCCATTAATGACCATCGGCAGTCATCACTCACCCCTCTCCGCGATGGTGTTTGTGGGCGTCCGCATAGGTGACCTCGCCAGCCTGGCGCATGTAGTCCTTGAGGTCCTGCGCGCAGTGAGCAGAGTGGCGGGGCGTCAGTAACGGTCGGGGCACACCGGTCCACCCGCCGTCGATGGCTCGGCCGCGCAGCCCACCGGTCAAAGGTGGGAGGGCACACGCAGACCCAGCTCTGCTCATTCAAAGGTGGGAGGGCACACGCAGACCCAGTTCTGTTCATGTCCCACACGGGGAGCGTCGACAACTGTCGGGGTTCTACGGCCAAGGAGACTGCGCCTCACACAGACCCCATAAATCGAAACCGCACTGAGAAACTGGGTAAGGACGACATTCAGCACTTGATGCAGCATAATGCCTATATAGCTCAATGCAGTTCTATTCTCACCATACATTGTGATTTTCATGTTCGATTCATAGCTTTCAACTCGTATGCACTACTGTATATACGATGCATAATCAATAAACACCAGATTTTCCGCCGGTCCGAACTTACCTCCGCGCACCTTGAGGCTCGGCACGGTCTACCAGAGGTCATCAGAGTTCGGGGTGCGGGCCAACATCAGACCATAGCGTACGAGCCACGGATCCTGTTTCCCAGTCAGACCGGTGCTCCGATGGACCAGCGCACAGTCAGGGCGACCCATCGGATGTACGCATCACCTTGTAATACAGCGGTGACATGGAGGAAAGGCGAAAGTGTGCCACCACCAACTAGAAGGTACTACGCTATGCCGTACAAGTCGACGCAATAAAACGATTCCGATATCACTGTCGGTCTTATTTTCACGCTATACAATTTTGATATAATTTGGCGACTAATACCAATACACGACCTCTTCGCTAAATAAGCTTTAGTGTGTATTTTGATTACGGTATCGATCTTTTCCTTTCCAAAGTTGTAAAAGAGGCCAATTGTCCATGTTTCGTAGTTTTGCAAAAAAAATTATTACTGGGTTGAAAAGGCACGGACATAAAAAATAAAATGCCTCGCAGGGGATTCACCTGTTTTTGCAACGCACTTTCGACATTGAGTATTGGATTTTGGTCCACGCCACGACAGGACAAAACCCATTCAAAAAGGATATAAAGCGGCGTGAGCCCTATAAAAACTATTGAAACATATAAGATTTCGCTTTGATTGGCTCTCGCCGACCGACAACGGTACGTTTATCCAAGCCGGCCGCACTTTACCACATAGCCAGGACAAGTCGTCACCTAGTTTGAATGCTAACGCTTATTTAGTCATAAACCAGAAAACTACACCATAACGCTTAAAACGCCCTAGAGGTAAGGGGACGGACCTTGTTTTGACGACTGTCCCTGTAGGCTCCGCGGCAGTGCGACCGGCTCCTACCAACGCCTACCGGCCGGCTGGATGGTATCAGCGGCGCGGGGCGGGCGGTTCGAATCCGCGGCGCGCTGGCCTGTCGCGACGTGCCGTACCTGGGAGCCAGCGCGGCCGGCCGGGCCCCTGAGCGCGCGCACCACACAGACACAGACCGGCCGAGCCGCCAGCACCAGCACCAGTCAGTCAGCGGCGGCGCACATCGGGCACCAGTCTCAGTCAGCGGCCGGCCGGCACCAGTCAGACAGCCCAGCGCCACCGGCACCGCGCCGGCCGGCTCTCTTTGGAGAGAACGGTCAGCTTCAGTGAGGGCAGGGGGCAGCGGCCGGACACAGAGCAGCGGCGACACCCACCCCGTACGGCCGCCCCGGCGCCACCGACACCTACCTGCCAGCTGACGCGCGAGCTCAGGTTCTCCACGATGATGCGGTTCTCGGTGCGAGTCGGGGGGCCATACCTGTGGAAGGTACGGGTCAGCGGCCGCAACACACGGTCTCTGCTAGAGGATAAGGGTTAGCGCCTACACGAGACGGTCTTCGCCAGGGCGCGGTGGGGGGGGGGGGGGGGGGCGTGCCTAACAGCCTTCAGAACTCTCATCGTGAACAAATGAATAAAAATCGTGACAATTCAGCAATTCCTTTAAAAAAATGATTCACATTTCCACCATTTGCGAATTGCATTAAACAGTGCAAGAAAGACAAAAAACTGTCGCCTCGCAGGACAGAAAAACAAATATTTCAAGGTGCCTACTATAGAGGCAAAAAAAGTATATCCTCTACGTGTAAGAAACAAAGGTAATGAAGGAGATAGGAGTGTTCAATTAAGTTCAGACTGTGCCAAGAGCATGTGACTACAGCGTGTAACTATAAGATGCGAATATAAATGTAAACCCAATAAATTTGGCCTTTGATACACTGGACACTGATCGCTGGATACACGGTCTAAGATAATGGAGCCACACGTTCCAACTGCCACCTTTTCTTGGGAACACCGTGCAAGACACCCCTGTGTGAAGCGAGTGCGCAAATGGATGAGGTGGCAAGGGCTAAATGATGAGAGGGACCCACAGACTCTGAGTTCCAAGTGCCAATATCTAAACATGTGTTACTCAAATCCTAAAAGCAAGAGCTAATTGATTTTTTTCGAACTTAAGTGCTCTTTTATTTACAGAGTCCACCCGGTAAGCATTGTCATCGTGCAGTCAGTCTAGGGCGCCTAGGCGTCTGTCGCCGCCGTCACAAGGATGGTACTGCTCATCATGTCCCCAGTACGGACACGGTGCGTATTATCGTACCCACAGAATACACAGTTTGATTAGACGAGCCCGAGAGCCACGCCACACACGCACCAGTTAGTAACATTGATATGGTCACAGGCGTTAAGGGTCGAGCGACAATCATTCACTGAAATATGTGACTTTAATAACGAGTCGTAGCGATATAATTCGACGTGAGCGGCGGTGGCTCGCGGGCGTCCGTCACCTACTTGGTGTTGCGCGGGGCAAGCTCCCTGGGTCGGCCCCAGCCGCCGCGGTCGCGATTCTGCGGTCCGCGGGCCGGCTCCAGAGTGACTCTGCCGGGGAGAGGGGCCGTCGCCGGTCACACCGCGGCCGCCAACCACACTCACTTGGTGCTCCAGGCCGGCGGCCGGCGCGCGTCGTAGCGGTCGTCGTAGCGGCGCGAGGGGCCGCGGGCCGCCTCCACAGTCACCCTGGCGGCAGCGTCCGGCGGCGCCGGCGGTCACGGACCGTGGACCCAGGCGGGGCGAGCTGGGACCAGGACCGGTAGAAGAGACCATCGGAGGACCGTGTGCCAAGGGGGAGGCGAGGTAGGACCAGGACCGGCAGCAGACTATCGAACCAACCGCAGATCCAAGAGAGGGAGAAGCAGGACGAAAACCAGCGGCAGGACCAGGAACGGTGACCCCAGGTCGAGAGGAAGCAAACCAGAAGCAACAGAAGTAGTTAGCGATCCAAGCCCACAGGTGCGTCAGTGGGTAGGCTTCATCTGTTCTGGCCTCCGTAGAGTCCGCAGGACGCGACTCTGTTGAAGCAAGGGTACGACCAGCATTCCTGCACAGCAGGTGCCTGAATAGGGAACCGATAAAAACGACGGTCCTGAATCAAGAGCCTCAGTCATCAGATACATTGCCATTTGAAAACCATGGAACGAACACAAGCTTAGACTTATGAAAGCACCCTCGAAAAGCACAGCCAGAATCAATTCCCCATTTCTATTATTGATTATGATTGTATTGCTACTTAACTACTGGGTATGTGGTTTGAGATGGGGCCAGCCAACAGCTTCAAGTTGTTCCGTTTTTACGGGTATCCACTGTACAGTGTCGGTGCCACTTACTCCAGCATCAAACCTCACAAATTGGTGCCATTATGCAGAAATATGTCTAGGTACAAGCTACAGAATAATCAGAACATTGAGCTGCACCATTTCCTGCTAGTTAGTTTAACGAGACGTTATCAGTCAACCATTAACATTTAACACAGGAAATGTCATACCTGGCGCCAAGAAGCTCTCGTCCATTCAGTTCATAAACAACATCATCGGCATCACGGGGATCTTCAAACTCCTGCAATCATGGTGAAACGGTGGTGGGTAAGTTATGCTTACATTATCCAAATACATAACCACTTTAATCTTACCTATTTGGCAATGAAAGAGTGAGCACTTACCTAAAAATTATAAGATAATGAACACAGCCTTATGTAATATGCATAGACCTGACCATTTCGGCAAACAAAGATTTGAAGTCTATTACAAATTCTGTTGGTAATAAGGACATACATACCACAAATCCAAATCCATTTTTGATGAGGACGTCTCTGATTCTTCCATATCCCTTGCAGAATCTTTCAATATCTCTCTCTCGGCAGCCATGAGTGAGACCGCCAATGTAGACTCTTGTACCATGCATCTGTAAAAATATGATGTTCAATCAAAGAGCAGGCAGAAGTCCAATTTAATTATGGGGCTGAAGTGTTCACCATACATTATGCAAATGAGTGTATCATGGTAGGTAGAATACAATTTTTTGTTGGAAATGAAAAAAAAACTTTTCTTTATTCAATATTTAGAAAACAAATGAAATCAATACAAGGACATGTTGGCCTCCGCTTGAAAATCACAGAACAGTCAGATGCTCCTAACCAAGATTGAATCAATAAACAACTTATATCCCTAGGTCCCAAACCAGGGCCCTGTTCGCCCGTTGCTGCCAAAACAGCTTCCCCAACAGCCCACTAGGTGGCTTGTGGAGACACGCAAGGTATGGGCCGCCGAGAGGTATGGGCCATCGCCGTGCTAAACAAGTTTTGCGTATTTCTTCCAATTTGACCGTGTAAACTGGTAGCAGCCAATTTGTTATACAACCCACGTGATTTCCAAAATCGTCCTCAGTCTCCTTTGGAAGTGAGTGGTGAAAGTGAGTTTTTGCCTTTTCAAGTAAAATCCGGTGGATAGAGAAAAATTGTGATTTATGTCAACCAGGCTGGTTTAATTATGTCATACCATCGCTAACATAAAGTAAAAAGCATGCAAATCAAGACTGGGTAGACAATTTAAAGTTTGCTTATGAGCTTTTGGGCTTAGATGCTGCGCACATTTTGGCGTCCTTACCGGGAGGTTCGGGCAACCCACCCCCAGGAGGTTCGGGCCAGCCAATACACTGAGGTTCAGCTCTGTCATGGGACAAAGCGCATCAAAAGAGGCTCTAAACAGGTAACAGTTTGGTTGAATTCCTCGTTTAAGACAGCAGGTGCAGTAATTTTGCACCTTTGCATCAATTATGAAGCAGGATTGACGCACAAACACATGCTTGTCATAAACAAGTTCCTGCTAATTTTTTAGGAATGCTGATGGGAGGTTAGTGGATATATATTGTTATAGAAATTGTATTGCAAGAGCGAGTACAGCTATACTGGGCAATTCCGACGCTCCACCGGGATCAGTCATCCTCGCGAACGACTCGGGCTGAATGGACAAGGAGACGTTCCCCAAGGCGCGACACACTTTCATCAGCCACATAGGCGCCTTGGAGCAGAAACGGCGGCTCCTAGTATTTGACAATCGCTGCTCCCATGTCACCCTCCAGGTCATCAGCATCGCCTCACGCCTGGGACTTGGGAGCACGGCAATGTCATTTCTAATTTCTAAGGTCAAAATATTTTATTTTCAAGTTTAACCCGCGCATGACTGGGGTATTTTCCATAACGCGAGTGACTGAGGGTGGGGGGTGGGGTGGGGGGTTCTCCAGAGCTCCCCCCCCCCTAGCTCAGAAACTACTGGGCCGATCGTCAAAATTCAAACGGCCTCTGATAACCCGGAAAAACTGTCGAGCGAAACCTATTTTCATTGACCTCGAGGTCACCGATGACGTTACAGGTCAGGTCAAAGTAAAAATAATCGGCATTTTGGCTTGTTCACAATTTAGGCTCTGCTCGCCGGCTGACAAGTACAATCAGGCTCATTTTTGGTTTACGCACTCCTTGATATATCTGAGGGTAACGAACTTTTGCTTCAAATTTTTCAGGTTAAGACCAGGTCATCCTAGGTCACAAAAATTGTATATCATGTATCAGTCACGTGATGCATGTTTTATGGTCCATTTTACTCGTAGATTTAGAAAATAATGTCATCTGTGTCATTTGAGGTCATTTTCAGCTGAATTTACCGGAGGTCAGGTCACTTTCAGGTCAGAAAAGGTCAAATTTTGAAAATGAAATTTTTCACCTAAAAAGGTGCTAATCAGATGCAGTTTGAGCTCAGGAACACGATGGTGCCATTTATATTGCTCTACGTTGTCAAAAAATCCACTGAAAAATGATTTTGAAAAATATATAATTGTAAATTTTGACAATACCTAATGCGAACAACTTGGCTATTTCTAAAGATATTGGGCTAAAACTCGCTAGAGTAGTTCATCAGTGTGTGTTCTACACTTTTTGAATAAATCAATATTTTTTTTGTAATTGTAAAAACATATTTTTCAAAATTCTCAAAATTTCGAAAATTCGAGATAGCAGTTTGATAGCTACATGTATTTTTAGTCAACTGATGCAAAGAAATTGGATCTAGCTTTAAAACTAAGCTCTTGAAAGCGTTTGCCGTAATTCAATATTTTGCATCAAAATCGGCCGACATGACGTCACTCTGTCGTCATTTCCGGCCAAACTATGGTGGCTAGAAAGTTGAAATTTTAACCCAAGGTCTCAACTTGATGCCGCTGAGGGTACCGCAAGTTTCGCGTTGATCCGTCAAACGGTTTAGAAGATATTGCCGAAAAACGGGAGGAGTGGCAGAGCCCCCAGTCATACGCGGGTTAAGTGTAATTTCAAGGAACATGAATGATTTTATCCAAATAAATATGTGGCCAAGTGAGCTCCATGAACTGGGTTTTTGACCACTTATGCCATAACTGGATTCTTAGAGAGCCAAGGTAGATCCCAAGTCCCAACCATGAGCATTGTGCTCAAAACCGTGATAAGAATATGAAATATGACACCGGCCTATACCTCCCGGGCCATGGCCCATACCTCCCGGGGTATTTTGATGAATCGAAAAAGTGCATGATTTCTTAAAAGTTATCTTGAGACAAAAAAAAAATCATTTTAGATGCTTGATATGAGGCACACTTTTCCTACAACCTAAATCTACTTATATACCACTAACCATACTTGACAACAAGTGTTTGGGTGTAACTTATAAATGTTTTGTGTAAAAAGTCATTAGTATCTTCGTGTGATCCCACTTTTCTTCCTTAGAAGGATGTGTTCTTTCTTTTCATGATTTTTTTTTTGTGAATTTCTTCAGTTTTAGGAGAGTGCAAAAGAGGGAAATGATCAAACTATTGGAGAAAAGAGACAATTAAATGCAAAAGCAAATTTTATCACAGGCCAGTTTTAACTACAGAAAAATAGCCGCCTGGCGCCTGCCATATTTTTTTGCCTTAACCCTCGCCCGCACATGCCATTTTCCCATCCTAGAACGCACATGGGGGGGGGGGTGGTTGCCACCCCCCCGCGCCATTTCGTTCCTGTTGGAGATAGAGCTTAGCAGTAAAGACCAAAAAGATTCTTTGGGAAGAGACGAATCCAATGATACCCAGTTTTACCTTCTCAGGTCAGTCATTGACCTTCCAGGTCAGGTCAAACTAAAAAATGTTGCTGTTTTGGGTCACCGTTGGATATCAAGTGTGCTGCTTATCAAATACCGATGACGATGCTGTTTTCTGGTGCCAAGCCAGCTAGAACCTCTTTGTCACACTACCCGACCAGAATTTTGCTGCTGAGGTCATTTCAGGTCAAGTTAGGTCAAGGTCAATTATATGTGTTTGTATGTCTGTGTGTGTCTGTGTGTATACTGATGTGTGCACCGATTGTTTTTGGGTCCATATTACATGAAATCATGATCTGAGAAGCTTTTACCAAAAATGCAGTCAAAAAACTTCAAAAAAGTAAATTCAGCTTGCCTAAAACGCAATTATCTTAGGTGACCTAGGTTGACCTTGACCCTGACCTTGACCCCTGTACATCGTCAAACAACATGTTCCATGATAGGTAGGAGGTAAGACTGGCAAAAAAGGCCGAAATCAGGGTGTCAAAAGCTCAAAAGGCCCATGGCAAACGCAAGATGTTGAGAATTGGCCATTTGGGTCATGACATGACCTGAAAAACAAGGTCATATCTCCGAAACCAAAAATCACAGAAACTTGAAATTTTCAGTGGACATCAAGAAAGGATAGAGGAGCAGCTATACGAAAAATCAGCCTTCTAGTTTTAAAAATGTTGAGTGCAGAGCAGAAAGACTACCTGGGGGGGGGGGTGGCAACCACCCCCCCATGTGCGGGCGAGGGTTAAAGGGACTATCCCACCTTCTAAAATGTTGTTAAAACCAGTTAAATTGTGCCCGACTTTATAGATTGGATGACCAGGAACACGGTTCTGGCATTTATTTTTCATTAAACATCTTAGGCTTCCCATATTCCAAACACAAACTTTCAAATATGTGACGTCACAGCCCAAAATTACCTCCTTCCCCAGGCCACATTACTGTCATAAAGCTGATTCTTTTTACTCTGTAGGCACCACAACAAAGTTCAGACCAAGTTTTAAGCGATTTTTCAACGAACAAACCCATTTAAATCAGAATGACTAAACGAGGTGACGTCACACTAACGGTCGCTCCATGTTGAAGATAGGGCCTTGTACAAGGCCCATTTTCAAATGAAGGGAACGAATTTCTTCAACACCAAGAGGCCGCGGGGGTTGCAACCTAGATAGATAGTGGTTTCTGAACCTCGCCGCAAACTTGGCTATCTCAACTCAAACCCCATGTTAAAGGTGGGATAGTCCCTTTAAAAGACCACTTCAAACATGTAGCGTAAACGAGATTGGCACATACCGTACACGGATAGGGCTTTACCTACTGTTTACATTCCGTATGAGAAGCGGTCTTTAGACAAAAAATTCCAGCAGGCAGCAATTTTTCTCTTGGTAAAACTGGCCTCAGGACAGAGAAATTCTAGCCAACTGCCAAATAAACTAGAATTATCTATTCAAAACAAAATTTTCCAAACAAAGATCTTAAATAAAAGTCAGGTCACAGAATAAAAATACAGCATTCCCCCACAAGGTATTTATTGGGATGGTCAAACTAACCTGCCCAAAATCCTGCTTTAAAACCTTCCATTATTTTCATACGACTGCATTTGCAGCATGTTTTTCATAAAATACATTTATAGATCACTAACCTATCTACATATTATACATAGGTAGGTACGAAGAAGAGCATGATTCCCGCGCCAAATTCGGAGCCAAAGTTGCAAAAACTTATACCCAATCTTATTCATGACCGACCTCAATCTAAATAATCAGACCTGTACCAACGTAAAAGCCAACTATTGATTCAACAAAAATGAAGCTTGATAATGCAATTCTTACCATAATCAATTAAAAAAACGCATTACAAGCGCACCACCGCTCCTCTTCTTCGATGATATTTTGCCACACGTGCGCCACGCGGAAACGCTGGCGTTTTTTAAGGTTAGTAAAAAGAACAACACTATTTAACAGCTAAGCTGGCGGCCTGGCAGTTATCTATCGAAAACACGAATCGGCTCGCAACAACATTTTTTTTTAAGATTTCAGATTAGATGACCTCAGTGCAAGGCTATATAAACCCCTCAGTGAACCTGAGAGGTCAATTCGACGTTTTATCTGTTGAGGCCGGCCTCACATATGTTTTAGGGCCTTGAGGCCGGCCATCCATCCAAAAGAGCAGCTGTTGGGCCGATCGAGACGAAAACGCCAAAAGCGGGCAGCAGTTGTCTTATGTGCGTTGCAGGGTATATTGAGTGAAGGGTAGGACGAACTTTGGTAGGAATTTCTAGTATAACTACTAGAAAACCTACTATATGTGGTCGGGACTAGCCAAAAGTTAGTTCAATCTAGGATATGGTAGCGCTTATGGTTGGCAGTCGTGACGCGCACGTGACAATCATTTCTTAAATTTCTTAAATAACAGGTTTTAAGGGCCGATTAATGGGCAGATACATTCAATTAGCTATTAATAATTGATTATGCAAACATTCAAGAATCTACATCATTTAATTATAGCCGAAATCACACGGCGCTCCCAGGATTCGAACTCACGACCCTCGGATCTGTAGCCCGATACGCTACCGACTGCGCTACCGACGACCGCGAACTGACGATCGGAGAGGCGGATCGCGGGTGCTGGCGTGCAGAGAAATCTTTACCCTGTACGCCGTAGAAGATCGGCTGGGTTTCGTGAAAAATGGTAGAGGAATTGTCGAAAGAAAATTCATCGATCTATCATTTGAGACTAAGAACCATTGATTCCTTCAAAGGTTGACCGAGATATCGCTCGCCGAAAACAGGCCATTTAACACGTAAACCCTATGGGCTGGTAGGAAATGTACGCCGTGGAGCAGCAGTGCTACCAACTAACTTCGGCGGGGGCCGGTGCGTTGTTACATGCCGTTTCGAATGGACAACACTATTCGACCGCCACCCTTGCAGCCATTCTACAACTCAGGAACTACTGGACCGATCGGAACGAACGAAACACCATTCGAATCAAGAGGTACGATTTTATCAGCCGTTTCGAAGCTCGTGACCTCAGGTGACCTCGGTGACCTCAAGAGGTCAACTCGGCATTGACGCCTATTGCAGCCATTCTATAACTCAGGAACTACTAGGCCGATCGCGACGAAAACACCACCAGTCGAATCAGCGTATGCAATTTCATCAGCCGTTTCGAATATGGTGACCTCAGGTGACCTCGGTGACCTCAAAAGGTCAACTTTACGTTTTCGCCTATTGCAGCCATTCTATAACTCAGGAACTACTGGGCCGATCGTGACGAAAACACCACCAGTCGATTCATCGTATGCGATTTCATCAGCCGTTTCGAATATGGTGACCTCAGGTGACCTCGGTGACCTTGGGAGGTCACATGACCAATGTGGCCTATTGCAGCCATTCTATAACTCAGGAACTACTGGGCCGATCGTGACGAAAACACCACCAGTCGAATCAGCGTATGCGATTTCATCAGCCGTTTCGAATATGGTGACCTCAGGTGACCTCGGTGACCTCAAAAGGTCAACTTTACGTTTTCGCCTATTGCAGCCATTCTATAACTCAGGAACTACTGGGCCGATCGTGACGAAAACACCACCAGTCGATTCAGCGTATGCGATTTCATCAGCCGTTTTGAATATGGTGACCTCAGGTGACCTCGGTGACCTTGGGAGGTCACATGACCAATGTGGCCTATGGCAGCCATTCTAAAACTCAGGAACTACTGGGCCGATCGTGACGAAAACACCACCAGTCGATTCAGCGTATGCTATTTCATCAGCCGTCTTGAATATGGTGACCTCAGGTGACCTCGGTGACCTTGGGAGGTCACATGACCAATGTGGCCTATGGCAGCCATTCTATAACTCAGGAACTACTGGGCCGATCGCGACGAAAACACCACCAGTCGATTCAGCGTATGCGATTTCATCAGCCGTTTCGAATATGGTGACCTCAGATGACCTCGGTGACCTTGGGAGGTCACATGACCAATGTGGCCTATTGCAGTCATTCTATAACTCAGGAACTACTGGGCGGATCGTGACGAAAACACCACCAGTCGAATCAGCGTATGCGATTTCATCAGCCGTTTCGAATATGGTGACCTCAGGTGACCTCGGTGACCTCAAAAGGTCAACTTTACGTTTTCGCCTATTGCAGCCATTCAATAACTCAGGAACTACTGGGCCGATCGTGACGAAAACACCACCAGTCGAATCAGCGTATGCGATTTCATTAGCCGTTTTGAATATGGTGACCTCAGGTGACCTCAGTTCCTGAATTATAGAATGGCTGCCATAGGCCACATTGGTCATGTGACCTCCCAAGGTCACCGAGGTTACCTGAGGTCACCATATTCAAAACGGCTGATGAAATCGCATACGCTGAATCGACTGGTGGTGTTTTCGTCGCAATCGGCCCAGTAGTTCCTGAGTTATAGAATGGCTGCCATAGGCCACATTGGTCATGTGACCTCCCAAGGTCACCGAGGTCACCTGAGGTCACCATATTCGAAACGGCTGATGAAATCGCATACGCTGAATCGACTGGTGGTGTTTTCGTCGCGATCGGCCCAGTAGTTCCTGAGTTATAGAATGGCTGCTATAGGCCACATTGGTCATGTGACCTCCCAAGGTCACCGAGGTCACCTGAGGTCACCATATTCGAAACGGCTGATGAAATCGCATACGCTGAATCGACTGGTGGTGTTTTCGTCGCGATCGGCCCAGTAGTTCCTGAGTTATAGAATGGCTGCAATAGGCGAAAACGTTAAGTTGACCTTTTGAGGCCACCGAGGTCACCTGAGGTCACCATATTCAAAACGGCTGATCAAATCACATACGCTGATTCGACTGGTGGTGTTTCCGTCGCGATCGGCCCAGTAGTTCCTGAGTTATAGAATGGCTGCTATAGGCCACATTGGTCATGTGACCTCCCAAGGTCACCGAGGTCACCTGAGGTCACCATATTCGAAACGGCTGATGAAACCGCATACGCTGAATCGACTGGTGGTGTTTTCATCACGATCGGCCCAGTAGTTCCTGAGTTATAGAATGGCTGCCATAGGCCACAACGGTCATGTGACCTCCCAAGGTCACCGAGGTCACCTGAGGTCACCATATTCGAAACGGCTGATGAAATCGCATACGCTGAATCGACTGGTGGTGTTTTCGTCGCGATCGGCCCAGTAGTTCCTGAGTTATAGAATGGCTGCCATAGGCCACATTGGTCATGTGACCTCCCAAGGTCACCGAGGTCACCTGAGTCACCATATTCGAAACGGCTGATGAAATCGCATACGCTGAATCGACTGGTGGTGTTTTCGTCGCGATCGGCCCAGTAGTTCCTGAGTTATAGCATGGCTGCCATAGGCCACAACGGTCATGTGACCTCCCAAGGTCACCGAGGTCACCTGAGGTCACCATATTCGAAACGGCTGATGAAATCGCATACGCTGAATCGACTGGTGGTGTTCTCGTCGCGATCGGCCCAGTAGTTCCTGAGTTATAGAATGGCTGCCATAGGCCACATTGGTCATGTGACCTCCCAAGGTCACCGAGGTCACCTGAGGTCACCATATTCGAAACGGCTGATGAAATCGCATACGCTGAATCGACTGGTGGTGTTTTCGTCGCGATCGGCCCAGTAGTTCCTGAGTTATAGAATGGCTGCTATAGGCCACATTGGTCGTGACCTCCCAAGGTCACCGAGGTCACCTGAGGTCACCATATTCGAAACGGCTGATGAACTCGCATACGCTAAATCGACTGGTGGTGTTTTCGTCGCGATCGGCCCAGTAGTTCCTGAGTTATAGAATGGCTGCAATAGGCGAAAACGTTAAGTTGACCTTTTGAGGTCACCGAGGTCACCTGAGGTCACCATATTCGAAACGGCTGATCAAATCACATACGCTGATTCGACTGGTGGTGTTTCCGTCGCGATCGGCCCAGTAGTTCCTGAGTTATAGAATGGCTGCCATAGGCCACAACGGTCATGTGACCTCCGAAGGTCACCGAGGTCACCTGAGGTCACCATATTCGAAACGGCTGATGAAATCGCATACGCTGAATCGACTGGTGGTGTTTTCGTCACGATCGGCCCAGTAGTTCCTGAGTTATAGAATGGCTGCAATAGGCCACATTGGTCATGTGACCTCCCAAGGTCACCAAGGTCACCTCAGGTCACCATATTCGAAACGGCTGATGAAATCGCATACGCTGAATCGAGTGGTGGTGTTTTCGTCGCGATCGGCCCAGTAGTTCCTGAGTTATAGCATGGCTGCCATAGGCCACAACGGTCATGTGACCTCCCAAGGTCGCCGAGGTCACCTGAGGTCACCATATTCGAAACGGCTGATGAAATCGCATACGCTGAATCGACTGGTGGTGTTTTCGTCGCGATCGGACCAGTAGTTCCTGAGTTATAGAATGACTGCCATAGGCCACATTGGTCATGTGACCTCTAAAGGTCACCGAGGTCACCTGAGGTCACCATATTCGAAACGGCTGATGAAATCGCATACGCTGAATCGACTGGTGGTGTTTTCGTCGCGATCGGCCCAGTAGTTCCTGAGTTATAGAATGGCTGCGTTAGGCCACATTGGTCATGTGACCTCCCAAGGTCACCGAGGTCACCTGAGGTCACCATATTCGAAACGGCTGATGAACTCGCATACGCTGAATCGACTGGTGGTGTTTTCGTCGCGATCGGCCCAGTAGTTCCTGAGTTATAGAATGGCTGCAATAGGCGAAAACGTTAAGTTGACCTTTTGAGGTCACCGAGGTCACCTGAGGTCACCATATTCGAAACGGCTGATCAAATCACATACGCTGATTCGACTGGTGGTGTTTCCGTCGCGATCGGCCCAGTAATTCCTGAGTTATAGAATGGCTGCCATAGGCCACAACGGTCATGTGACCTC